TTTACCACCTTGATTCAGCCTCTATGGGGATAAATCGAGGACCATTTCCCTGTAGGCACTGTGTTTGCTGAAAGATTTCAGAGCGACAAAGACCCGAGTGCAAACACCAACTCAGCCCGTCACATCCTAGCTCTGTGTTTTTCGGCAAGTCACTTAACTCTTCTACATCTGCATGTTTTCTCCAATAACGACAATACTATTCTGCTGCAGGGTTATTGTGGGGGATTATGATTACTGATACTAAAAGAAGAGATGAATTAGTTATGGAGAGGTGGAATCTCACACTTGAAGAACCAAAGCCCAGGAATGTAGTCTTCTGAGAAAAGGGGAGGGAACAGGATTGAAAGACTTGGGTTTGAATCATGAGGATATACTGCTTATTCAAAAATGTCAAAGTTTTTTTAAAAAAGGAATAAAATAGAACAATTAAGAAGTACTAATGAATATTTAAAAGAAAACTTCCTTGGTCTAAAAAAGGACATGAGACTATCTCCCCAGCCCATCCTACTTAAGTTCCTGAATTCTTTTTTTTTTTTTAATAATTTTTTTTTTAAATTTATTTCTAGGAGAGAGAGAGAGAGACAGCGTGAGCAGAGGAGGGTCAGAGAGAGAGGGAGTCACAGACCGAAACAGGCTCCAGGCTCTGAGCTGGCAGTCAGCAAAGAGCCCGACGCGGTGCTCGAACCCACGAACCGCGAGATCATGACCCAAGCGAAAGTCAGACGCCTAACCAACTAAGCCACCCAGGCGCCCCATTAAGTTCCTGAATTCTAAGGATAGAAACTCTTGCCAAATGCGAGGACAGAAGCCATTACCGTGGCAGGCAGAATTATGGGCCTCCAGAGATGCCCTGTCCCAATCCCAGGAATCTGTGGATCTGTTTTGTTGGTAGCAAGGGGGAATTAAGTTGCAGATAGACTGAAGGCTGTCAATCAATTGACCTTAAGGCAAGATTATCTTGGAATGTCCAGATGAGCCCAGTGTAATCAACAGATTCCTTAAAGGTGAAAGAGGGAGGCAAGAGTCAGTGTTAGAATGATGCAGTGTGAGACTCAACAAGCCGTTGCTGGCACTGACAGAAAGGGGCCACGCCAAGGAATGCAGGCAGCTTCTGGAAGCTAAAAATGGCTCCAAAATGGTTTTTCCCACAAAGCCTCCAGAAGAGAACACAGGCCCATCAATACTTTGGTTTTGGCCCGAGAGATTTAACCTATTTCAGACCTCTGACCTCGTGATAATAAATGTGTCGTTTTAAACCTGTACGTTTTTGATAATTTGTTATAGCAGCAAAAACAAATACATCTTTTTTTCTTCTTTGAGAGAGAGAGAACTTGAGTGGGGTACAAGGGCACAGGGAGAGAGACAGAGAATCTTTAGGTAGGCTCCATGCTTAGTATGAAGCCCAATTTGGGACTTGATCCCATGACCTGAGCGGAGATCAACAGTCAGTTGCTCAACTGACTGAACCACCCAGGCACCCCAGAAACAAAAATATCTACATACGCCAAGAAAATCAGATTATTGAGGGAAAAAAGCCTATAATCCCAATAATGTTCTACAAACCTAAAATATAATCTGTGAGGGCCCAAGAAACATTTGGACAAGAATTCAGAGAATACCAGCTATATATACCACTTACTGAGAGAAATATACTCAATAAAATAGTCTAACCAAATAGGATATAAAATAAAACTCACAAGACAGGAAAAAAGATGAAAAGAAACAGCACCCAGCAATGAATGTTACTCTCCCTGAGTATCTTTAAATTTACATGGGTATCACGAGTGGGTCTAGCAGTAAGTAACATTGAGCATCAAATAAATAAAATAAGAGCAAAACTAAAAGCTCTGGATTAGGCTTTTATGAGGTTAGGGAAGTGGAGAAAATCTGAAATAGACTGTGCAGGAAAGAGAAAGCAAGAGTGGGCTCTTGGAGGAGAGTGGCAAAGAAAATTAACGATCACTAAGAAAATATAATACTGCCCTCATTCTGCCCAAATAATGATTAAGAATGGGGAGATGACCACAACCCTAAGCACAGTGTTAAGCTCCAATTTTGCAAAAGGAATGACCAGTCAACGTAAGCAAAGGAAAAGGCCAACATAAATCGAACACACAATGTAAAATGAAAGGAATAAAGATGAACTACATCAAATATTAATTTCTTTATAGAAAAAATTCAGGTTTTTAAAAAAATTATATTGAGAGAGACAGAGACAGCACAAGCGGGGGAGGGGCAGAGAGAGAGAAGATCCGAAGCGGGCTTCACGCTGCCACTGCAGAGCCTGGCGTGGGGCTCAAACTCACAAAGCCATGAGATGATGTCCTAAGCCAAGACCAAGAGTCAGACACTTAACCCACTGAGCCACGCAGGTATCCTCATATTTTCAATTTTTATTTTTATTTTTTATTGTTTTTATTTATTTCTAGGAGAGAGAGAGAGACACAGTGTGAGGAGGGGAGGGTCAGAGAGAGAGGGAGTCACAGACTGAAACAGGCTCCAGGCTCTGAGCTGGCAGTCAGCACAGAGCCCGACGCGGGGCTCGAACCCATGAACCGCGAGATCATGACCTAAGCGAAAGTCGGACGCTTAACCGACTAAGCCACCCAGGAGCCCCTTTTCAATTTTTAAAAAGCGGCAATTTTTTAAATAAGAAGTAACTGAAAAGACAGAGGCTGAAAATAAGGGGATGGGCAAAAATATACCAGGTGAACAAAGACAAACCACTATTAGCGGTGTTACACGGTATGGAAATAAAATCCCAAAAGGCTTACAGTGGGCCAGGGTTGGCAAACTCTCTATCTAAAGGGCCAATCAGTACAGGCTTTGTGGCCATAGTCTTTGTTGCAGCCACTCAATTCTTTTGTTGTAGTATAGAACCAGTAGACAATACGGAAATAAATGAGCATGGCAGTGTTCCAATAAAGCTTTATTTATAAAACAGGTAGTGGGCCAGATCTGTTTTGTCAGCCCCTACAGTTGACAGAGTAGGACATTATAGAACAATAAAAGGTACGATTCATAAATAGGGGTTAAGGTGTATGTCTTTATAGGTCAAACAACATAAATTAAAAAGCAAAACTCTCTGGAAATTCAAGATCTTGGTTTAAAAAATTCAATTTTAGAAAATTCTGATCCAGTATACAAATTATATAAGAACATGGGGAGTTTTATCATTATAACCCACTGGCTTAAAGAGAATCATGTCCCCAAAAAAGTAGTATATATATTCTTTTGCAATGTTACAGAATATATACAAAAATCAATCGTAGACTTAGCCACAAAGAGAAATGTTGAATTCAAGAAAAGGTACTTTTCAGCCATGTTCACCAATCATAATAAAATAAAAATTGAAGTTATATAATTAAGGATGCCTTTGGCCACAAGTTTACAAAATATCCAACTTAAAGGAACTTCAGTCGTAAAGGTTTATTTCTCTTACAAAACAAGGCTTCACAGAGCCTGGTAGTTCGGTGTCGTCAGGGCTCTGGGTCAGCTTCTCTGAGGTCCTCTGTTCTCTCCTCTTGGCTCCAACAGCTCCACGCATTATGTTTTCATAGGAAAATGTTTAAAAGCAGATGAAAGGAGAGGGCATCTTCCCCATGTACCTGTCTCTTCTGAGTAAGGAAAATCTTTCCCAGAAGCCCCTGCAGACCCCCGGAACATACCGGCCTTACCCCGGAACACAGGAGCCATCCTGAGTTGCAAAAGAGACCGAAAACTTTGTATCTGATATCTTCAGAGTCTAAGGCCAAGATACAGATGCTGCCAATAGGAAAGGGCACTGGGTATGGCTCTATGTAGGCAGCCAACCCCTTCTGTCTGACAGAAATGATTAAAGATAATCTAAAACATGGACACTGAGAAATATTATCCTAAATGTAGTTTTTTCCTGGGTCAGGAAGAAATAAAAGCTGAGACTATTGTTAGATAACCACTTATTTTATACTAATTTGTTCTTTTATTGTGTGGGTGTTTAGTATTCTTTTCTCACTTCTCGAATAGTACATTTCATATACTTGAGAGTAATCTTTCAGGTTTTCACGCTTTGCGTGCATTTAAAAGCCACAAAAATTCTTCTACCTTTAGCCACATCCTACAACTCCCGGAATGTAAATATCTCAATTGTCATTCTTTTCATTACCATTCATGATCATTTTACATGATTATTTCCTTATTAACCCAAGAGTAATTGGGTGCCTGGCTGGCTCAGTTGGTAGAGCATGTGACTCTTGATCTCAGGGTCAGGAGTTTGAGCCTCACATTGTATGTGGAGCTTACTTAAAAATAAAGAAGTTGAGGGGCGCCTGGGTGGCTCAGTCAGTTAAGTGTCTGACTTCAGCTCAGGTCATGATCTCATAGTTCATGGGTTCAAGCCCTGCATTGGGCTCTGTGCTGACAGCTCAGAGCCTTGAGCCTGTTTTGGAATCTGTGTCTCCCTCTATCTCTCAAAATGGAATGAATGTTAAAAAAAAATTTTTTTAGGGGCGCCCAGGTGGCTCAGTCGGTTGAGCATCCAACTTCGGCTCAGGTCATGATCTCATGGTTCGTGGGTTCGAGCCCTGCATCGGGCTCTGTGCTGACAGCTAGCTCAGAGCCTGGAGCCTGTTTCAGATTCTGTGTCTCCCTCTCTCTCTGATCTTCCCCTGCTCATGCTGCCTCTCTCTCTCTCCCTCTCAGAAATAAATAAAACACTAAAAAAATTTTTTTAATAAAATAGTTTGAACCCAAGAGTAATTTGGCTGTTTTTTTCTTTTTGATTTCCAAGAAAATTAAAACTTTTGGCTGATGTTAAAAAACCAAAAACAAAAAACTTTGGGCTATCGTTAAAATAGTTGCAGTGTGGTTAGAAAATGTGGTTCTGGGAGGCCCTGGGGGGTTCAATTAGTTAAGTGTCTGACTCTTGATTTTAGCCTGTCATGATCTCACAGTTATAAAATCAAGCCTCACATCAGGCTCTGCACTGGGCATGGAGCCTGCTTGAGATTCTCTCACTCTCTCTGAATCCCTCTGCCCCTCCCCAACTCGCTCTAAAGAGAGAGAGAGAGAGAGAGAGAGAATGTGATTCCAGAATGTGTTACAGACAAGACTTTTTCCAACCTTCCCTTGCTTCTTTGAGAATCATGGTCTAAACAGTTTATATCCATAAATTTGTTCTTCACTACAAATCTTATGATTCAGGATAAAGGATGGCTTGAACGAAGGCATTCTCCTCTGTATTACATTCTTCAAGTCTTTCTCCAAAAAATGAGGAGTAAGTTGTGACGCCTATGCTAATGGGCTCTCCCCATTGCTTCCATTCATATGGCTGCTTGCTAACATGAATTCTCTGATGATCAGTAAAGGGTACGTGCTGATGGAAGGCTTTTCTACGTTTATTATATTCACTTGGGTTTCTCTATTATGCATTCTCTGATGCTGAGCCGTCGCTGAATCATGGTGCATAGTCCTCCCACATTCCTTATACTCACAGGGCTTTTCCTCAGCATGAATGACCTGATGTTGGATCAGTTGTGAGCAATGACCGAAGGCCTTCCCACATTTCTTACATTCATAGGGCTTCTCACCAGTATGAATTCTGTAATGTACGGTGAGATGGGAGACGCGTTTGAAAGCCCTACGGCATACCCTACACTGGTAGGGCTTCTCTCCAGTGTGAATTCTCTGATGTTGCTTAAGTTGCGAGCTCACCCTAAAGGCCTTCCCACATGCCTGGCATTCATAGGGCTTCTCACCAGTATGGATTCTCTGATGACGAATAAGAGTTGAGCCTTGATTAAAGGCCTTCCCACATTCCTTACATTCATAGAGTTTCTTGCCTGTATGAATAGTCTGATGTTGGATCAACTGAGACCGATGACTAAAGGTCTTCCCACATTCCTTGCACGCGTAGGGCTTCTCACCAGTATGAATTCTGTAATGTACTTTAAGATGTGAGATCCTATTAAAGGCCTTGCCACATTCCTTACACTGATAGGGTTTCTCACCAGTATGAATTCGCTGATGTTCGATCAACTGTGAGCTTCGACTGAAGGCCTTTGCACAATCCTTACATTCATAAGGTTTCTCACCAGTGTGAACTCTCTGATGTTGTATGAAATTTGAACCAGAATTGAAAGCCTTACCACATTCATTACACTCATAGGGCTTCTTGCCAGAGTGAATATTCTCATGCTGAATTAGTCGTGAGCCGTATTTAAAGGCCTTGCCACACTCCTTACATTTATAGGGCTTCTCATTAGTATGGATTCCTTGATGATTAATAAGGAAGCCTTCCTGCCAGAAATCTTTCCCACAGTCATCATATCCATAGGGCTTTTCTCCAGTATGAATTTTCTGATAAAAAGGGAATGACGATGCTGGCTGGCTGAAAGCAGACATTTCCTCATCACTGATTATCGCTGGACTCAGATGTCCATCCGGACTCCCCTGGTGTCTGTCACAGTGGCTTCTGCATTCCCAGTCGTCTTGGAACCTCGAACACTCAAGACCGTAACTTGCAAGGCTTCCCATTATCTCCCACTGTGGTGACGGTACCTCATAAAAGTGCTGCTTTGGAGACGATACCTTAGTATCACACCTGGACTCCAATTCTGGGGGGTGGGGAGGGGAAGAAAAAAAAAAAGCATGTTTTTCTTTCCTTTTCCAGAAAAAAGAACTTGTATAGTAAAACCAGAAAGTTCAGACTCATGATCATACCTGTCAGCTCTTGAATGTGGCTAGGCAATTAGGAAACAGGTAAGTAGAACAGAGAGAAAGGAAATACCATAAAGTGAGAAGTAGTAGTCAGAAGGAGGTTATAAGAGTAGCTCTAAAATGTTAGTGTGGATCAGAATCACCTCTGAATCATGTTTTAACTTTTTTTAAATGTTTGTTTATTTTTGAGAGAGACAGAGCATGAACAGGGGAGGGGCAGAGAGGGAGGGAGACACAGAATCTGAAGCAGGCTCCAGGCTCTGAAGCAGGCTCCAGGCTCTGAGCTGTCAGCACAGAGCCCGATACACCCTGAACTCACAGAGAGATCATAACCTGAGCCAAAGTCAGACGCTTAACCAACTGAGCCACCCAGGTGCCCCAATCTCTAAACCATGTTTTTAAAAAATGAATGTTTCAGGGCGCCTGGGTGGCTCAGTTGGTTGTCAGACTTCAGCTTAGGCCATGCTCTCGAGGTTCATGGGTTTGAGCCGTTTCGGGTTTTGTACTGACAGCTCAGAGCTAAAGCCTGTTTCCGATCTGTGTCTCCCTCTCTCTCTCTCTCCGCCCCTTCCTTGCTCGTTCTCTCCCTCTCTCAAAAATAAACTTAAAAAAAAAAAAAAAAAAAGGGATGTTTCCATGGAAGCCTAGAAAGAAACCAGAGTTGCAAAGAAACCACTGGTTGCCTGGGGCTGGGTGTGTGAGGGATCGGGTGGGAAGAACAAGGGAAGTTTTCACGGTGACGAACATGTTCTCCAGCCTGTGGTGACAGCTGCACCGGTGTATATGTGTGTCCATGCGCACCAGATGTTATGCTTAAAATGCATGCACTTTACTGAGTATAAATTATACCTCAATAAAGTGGGTTTTAAAAATGACGAGGAGGGTGAGTGGATCTTCACCCAGCCGGAGGAACACGATGGCTCACCCGATGCCGGGGGGGTGGGAGGCGGGGGCTGGCCGCACGTGCCGCAGTCCTCTGCTGTGACGCCTTCCGCCTCTGAAGCGCAGCTCACTGCACGGCTCAGGCCTGGTGTCCACTAAACCCGTCCCTCCTGGGCCTCTCCACCGTGTCAAAGAGACGTTGGAAAAGGGAAGGCCTTGTTCCTTGTTTAGAGGGTAAGGCCCCAACTTACTGCAGGTGGTTTCTTCTCTGCTGCTTATTCAAACTGCGAAGACAAGTCGAATGATGTATTCGATCCTGATTTTACCTGTCACACACCTTCAGTTGCAGTGGCCTGTTGTACTGTGCTCACAGCAACCAATCCCACTGGGCCGAGAGAGGGCTGGTTACATACAGCCTGATAACGAGGAACTCGGGAAAGCAAATGGGTGCTTTCTAATGTGCTCGTAAAGTGTGGCAGACAGATGCCCAAAGAGGACTTTATAGGCAGGCCAGCCTCCAAGAGTGGCATTTCACAGAACTTTATTCATGTAAAAGTATTAAACAAAACCTGCTAGAATGAAAAGTTACTTTGACAATGGAAGATGATGAAGAGTCTGTGAAAGACATATCAAATTTTGTGGGACTGATGCTGCTCTTCTCTCAAAAACTTGTGCTAGAAGGGTGCCTGGGTGGGTTGTTGGTTAAGTGTCTACATCGCCTCAGGTCATGATCTCACAGTTCATGGGTTCAAGCCCCACGTTGAGCTCTGTGCTGACAAGTCAGAGCCTGGAGCCTGCTTTGGATTCTGTGTCTCCCTCTCTCTGCCCCTCCCCCACACTTGCTCTTGCTCTGTCTCCCAAAAATAAACAAACATTAAGGTAAAAAAAACTTGTGCACAACTAGTGCACAGAGCATCCACATAAAGTTGTAAGAACAAGACCAGGTAAAGAGGGCATCAAGTACATACAGACATTTTTTTCAGACACCATGTGTGGTTGTTCAGATGTAAGGTTTTGGGTCTCTTCACTGTGGTCTAACAACTCTCGTGAGACAGATTCCAGCTACAGCCATTATGATGGCAACCTATGAATTAGTGGTTGACCCACTCAACGGTCAGCGACATCTGAGCCATCCTGTAAACGAAGGACAATCAAAAGATTGCCGTGGAGGGGGGAGGGGGAAAGGGAGAGAGGCAAACCATGAGAGACTCTTGAATGCTGACAAAAACTGAGAACTGATGGATGTGGGGGGGAGGGGGTATGGGCATGGAGGAGGGCACTTGTGGGGATGAGCACTGGGTGTTATGTGGAAACTAATTTGACAATAAACTATTTGTAAAAAAAAAAAAAAAAAAGATTGCCGTGGAACATGGAAAATTAGAGCCAGCTTGGTAGAAAGAGAAGACTAGTTTGGGAACTTGTAACTATGCCCAAATGTGAATTTGGTTTTAGGATTAAAGTAATGACACATTACTTGCTTTTTGGGCAGCGTGGAAAGAACTCTGGCTGCCTCTGAGGAGGCCATTAAAAACACTCCTCTCTCTCGGGGTACCTGAGTCCTCTCTCAGCCAACTGAGCCATCCAACTTCAGCTCAGGTCATGATCTCATGATTTGTGAGTTGGAGCCCCATATCAGGCTCACTGTTGTCAGCCTGTCAGTGTAGAGCCTGCTTCAGACCCTCTGTACCCCTCTCTCTGCCCCTCCCCTACTTGCACTCTCCCCCCTCCCACAAAAATAAAAACAAAACCAAAAACCACTCTTCTCTCAAAAAAAAAAAAAAAAAATGGCCCCTGGATGGCTCAGTCAATTAAGTGTCCGACTCTTTGATTTTGTCTCAAGTCATGATCTCATAGTTTGTGAGATAGTGCCCCACATTGGGCTCCGCACTGACAGTACAGAACCTGCTTGGGATTCTCTCTCCCCCTCTATGCCCCTCCCCTGTTTGTGCACTTACTCTCTCTCTCAAAATAAAATAATAAACTTAAAAACATTGCAAAATAGCAGCAGTAATAGTAAGGTCTCCTGTATCCATTTCATGTTTTCATGAGCAGCCTGGCAAAGTATTTTAAAGTTAATTATTTAGCATTTGTAGTCACTATTTTGGATAACCAAAAAAATATGTCTAAAAATCTGATGTATAGTCTTAGCATTAAGATGTTAAAACAGCGTCCACATATGAACCTCAAGGGATCTCAACAGCCAAAGTAAAGTTGAAAAGGAAGAACAAAGTTGGAAGTCTCACATTTCCTGATTTCAAAACATATTATAAGGCACAATAATCAAAATAGCATGGCACTGACATAAAGGGAGACCTGTAAACCAATGGAACAGGACAGAGAAGCCAGAAATAAAACCCATGCATAAGCTTAAATGATCCCTGATAAGGGTGGTAAGACCTCACAATGAGGAAGACAGTCTCTAACAAATGGTTCTGAGGAAATTGGATACCCACATGCAAAAGAATAAAGCAGCTCCCTTACCTTATACCATACACAAAAATTAACTCAAAATGCATGAAAGACCTAGGCATAAGACCTAAAAATGTTAAGTTCCTAGAAAAAAACATGGGGGTAAAAAAACTTATGACATTGCATTTGGCAATGATTTCTTGGATAGGGCACTAAAAGCCCAGGCAACAAAGGCAAAAATAGACAAATGGGACTACCTCAAACTTAAAACTTTCATGCATCAAAGGAAACAACCAAAAAAGTAAAAAAGGTAACCTTCAGAACATAAGAAAATATCTGCAAATCACATATCTGATAAGAGGTTAATATCTAACATATATAAAGAACTCCTCCAATTCAACAACAAAAAAACTACCCTATTAAAAAATTGGCAAAGGACTTGAATAGATATTTTTCCAAGGAAGATATACAAGTGACCAAGAAGCATTTGAAAACATGTTCAACATCACTACTCATCAGAGAAACACAAATCAAAACTATAATGAGATACTGTCTCAAAGCCATTAGGATGGCCACTACCAAAACAAAACTCAACAGAAAATGACAAGTGTTGATGAGGATGTGGAGAAACTGGAATCCTTGTGCCCTGCTGGTGGGAATTTAAAATGGTGTAATCACTATAGAAAACAGTATGGAGATTTCTAAAAAAATTAAAGTGGTGCCTGGATGGCTCAGTTGGTTAAGCGTCCGACTCTTGATTTCAGTTCAGGTCATGACCTTGTGGTTTGCGACCTGGCGCCCTGCATGCAGCTCCCTGCTGGCAGTGAGGAGCCCACTTCAGATCCTCTGTCCCCCTTCCTGTCCCTCCCCTGCTTGCGCGTGCTCATGCGTATCCTCGCTCTCTCTCGGTGGCTCTCTCACCTTGGAGGCTCAGTTTATTAAGTGACCACCTCTTGATTTTGGCTCAAGTCATGATCTCACAGTTTGTGGGTTCAAGCACCACATCAGATTCTGTGCTGACAACACACAGAGCCTGCTTGGGATTCCCTCTGTCTCCTCTCTCTGCCCTTCCCCTGCTCTTTCTCTCTCTCTCTCACACACACACACACACACACACACAAAATAAATAAATAAATTTTTAAAAAAGAGCACTGGGATGTCCGGGTGGCTCAGTCGGTTAAGCGTCCAATTCTGGCTCAGGTCGTGATCTCACAGCTTCTGAATTCGAGCCCTGTGTTGGGCTCTGTGTTGACAGCTCAGAGCCTGGAGCCTGCTAAAGATTCTGTGTCCACGTCTTTCTCTGCTCCTCCCCAACTCGTGTTCTGCCTGTCTCTCTCTCTCTCAAATAAACACTAAAAAAAATTTTTTTTAAAGAGGACTTTCCAGAATAAATATAAATTACCACAGGTGACTCAAGAAATCCAACAGTAGAGGGGTGCCTGGGTGGCTCAGTCGGTTAAGCGTCTGACTTTGGCTTGGGTCGTGATCTTGCGGTTCGTGGGTTCGAGCCCCACATCAGGCTCTCTGCTGACAGCTCAGAGCCTGGAGCCTGTCTTCAGATTCTGTGTCTCCCTCTCTCTCTGACTCTCCCCTGCTCACACTGTCTCTCTCTCTCTCAAAAATAAATAAAACATTAAAAAAAAAGAAAGAAATAAAACAGTTGAATGTTTAGATTCAGTATTCAGAACTAGGAAATCTATTCATATAACCCAGACTTCACAGATTAAAAAAGAAAACTTAAGGGGCGCCTGGGTGGCTTAGTCGGTTAAGCGTCCGACTTTCGCTTAGGTCATGATCTTGCGGTTCGTGGGTTCGAGCCCCGCGTCGGGCTCTGTGCTGACAGCCAGCTCAGAGCCTGGAGCCTGCTTCGGATTCTGTGTCTCCCTCTCTCTCTGACCCTCCCCTGCTCACACTGTCTCTCTCTCTCTCTCCTAGAAATAAATAAAACATTAAAAAAAAAAAAAAAGAAAACTTAATAAAATATGAAAAGATGGATACTTCTTTAATCAAATATCTCTATCTCATTCCTGAATCTGATACTATGCTTAATGAGAAGACACTAACAACATTCCTACTAAGGTTAAGAACAAGAGGAGGACATAAACTACCCCCGTTACCATTGTTCTGGGGGTGTTGTGCGATCAGCAACCTCGTCAGCAAAACAGAAAAACTCAAGTGGTATAAAAATGCAAAAACATTATCACCATTTGCAGATGACATGATTGACTCCTTGGAAAATCAAGTATTACATGAAAACTATTATAAATAACGAGAAAATTCAGTAAGTTGGGTTAACTACAAAATTATTCTGAAGATATGAATCACTTATGCCTTATATAAAACCACCAGCTGAACTATAATAGGGATGAAAAGGCCCCATTTCCAGTAACAGCAATAGAGATATAATACCTAGGAATAAATATAGGAAGAAACAGACAAGACCCATATAAATAAAACTCTAAAACTACCAGGAGATGGACATAAATGAAGACAAAAGCCTATCATGTTCTTAAATAGATAAAATCAATTTGAAAAATCAGTTTTCTCCTCAATTAATCTAGAAATTTACTGTGATCTCAGTAAGAATTACATGATTATTTTTTAAATCAGATATTCTAATTCTAAAGTTCTAATGGAAAAGCAAACCTGATTATAGTCAGGAAAATTCTGAAAAGTAAGAATGACGAGGACCTATCTACCAGATATTTAAAACCTTCAATAATTAAAACAATATGGTATGGGTCACATAGTTAGATAAAGAGCTTAATGACACAGAACTGAAAGTCCACAAAGAGATCCAGAGGTAACAGCAGATGACAAAAGTGGCTTGGGAAATTAGTGGTGAAAAGATAAAATCAGTTAACAATAAAATCAGTTATCCTGTTTAAATAACTGGATAACAACCTGGGAAATAATGTGAAATCACATCTTGCACAAGAATAAATGCCACAGGAATCATTAATAGCACCATAAAAATACTAGAAAAAAATCATAAGAGACTCATTTTATAATGTCAAAGGGGGAGATCCTTTTTATATATGATGTAAACCTACACATCTAAGGAGTAAATAAAACTCAGCATGTCAAACAATCAAATTAACATATGCTGTCAAACTAAAATGAAAAACAAAAGCAAAATTGACATTACGGGTGCGGCTGGCAGAATCACGGCCTCCCAAAGATCCCCACACCCTAATCCCCAGAATCTGTGAATATGTTCACTTATATAGGCGCACATGCCTTCTCTCCTGATGCTCACTCCACACTTGACCTCACTCACGCCCAGGGCCAAGCACAACTTCAATGTGGACAAATCTTCCACATGTGAAGCCACTCTGGCTGCCATGTGGACAAAACGCTGCAGGGGACGAGAACAGAAGCAGAGGGATGGGGAGGAGGCTGCTGCAAGAGTCTAAGCCAAAGGTGATGGTGGTATGGGTGAAATGGTAGCAGTGTTGGCGAGAAGTGGTTAAATTCTGGATATATTTCAAGGTACAGCAAATGGGATTTGTGGGGAATAAGCTTTGGAATTCCCTGGGCCTGCACCAATGGGTTAACAAGCCATAAAGAATTATAAAGCCATAGGATGCTCTCACCCAAGCTTGGGTAAACAAGATTAGGACTCCAGGATAGAGCAGGGTGGGGGCAAAGGCCTCCAGGATAGAGGGGGGGCAAAGCCTCTTCAGTGGGGGGGGAGGGGCAAGGCCCCAATACAAAGTATAGGAGGTAAGCAAGATTAGGCATTCAGGCGGAAATGCCCCCCACCTTAGTACTATAGCAGAAAGCTGCTTTCACAGGAAGGAAGGACCGAATTAGACCGCTGCAGGTGATGCTGCCCAGAGAGGAGCTGATTAGCAAAAGAAAGATGCCTTGTTGACCCCGAGGTTACTGGCTCTGCCTTCTCCCCTAGGCCAGCTAAGATGAACAGACACAGCGCCTCCTGCCTGCTGTTAACAACCATCTGCCCATCTGCCGAGCACCAGGATTTTGTTTTATATTGACCCAAACCCCTAACCGTTAATCTTCAAAACCCCCTTTCCCTCATGCCCATGAGTTAATGTTCACAGATTCATTGTCTCTTTGTGCACGCCCATCACGTTTGAAAGCCTTCTGATCTTAATAAATACAGAACAGGGACCCTTATTCGGGGCTCTTGTCTTTTCCTGGACATTAGCCATCTCTTGCATTTTAATCCTGCATCTGCTTTCACGATGGACAAGAAAGAACTTTAGGCTTAGAGTCTACGACAAGGATTTGCTGACAGTCTGGATAGGTATGTGAGAGAGAAAATTCAAGAATGCTTCAAGCGTTTCTGACTTGAGCAAGTACAAGAATTTAATACCCTATTACTAAAGCGTGGAAGAAAGAGAGAAGATCAGATTGTTAGGATCAAGGACTCCTTTCTGGAACGTTATACTCATAGTGGCCAATGAACACTTAAGTGGACATGATGAGAAGGCAGTTGGATAGAAGTATGTGGAGTTTAAAGGAATAGCTGAAGACAGTGGAAATGTTCTGGATCCACACAGTCCAGTACAGCAGACACGAGCCACAAAGTAGCTACTGAATATTTGAAATGGGGCAAGTACAACTGAGGTACTGATTTTTTAAATGTATTTAACTGCAATGAATGTGAATTACACTGTCCACACGGGGCCAGCGGCTCCACGCTGGGCAACACAAGTATGAATGGTGTTTAAAAGCACAGTAATGGAAAAAAAACATATATAATTAACCAGAGTAATGGAGAAGGTTCCGGGGAATGAAAATAAACAGGGAAGAAGAAACCCAAGTCTGAGCCCTGGGGCGCTCCAACATTTAAAGAGAGTGAGAAGATCCACCAAAGGAGACTGAGGACTGTTGACCGAGGTCAGCAAGGACAAGGGGGAGTGATGACCCACATACACAGAGACGATTCAGGAAGAAAGGAACAACGTGACAGGCCAGAAAAGATGATAAGTGGGACATGGCCTCTGAGTCTGGCACCTTGGAGGGAAAATTTTCTAACTCAAAGCTCCTGCTTCCTCATGTACCCGCTAAATGTAGTGGCTTCTCTTCCCACCCAGGCTTCACTTACCCGGGCACGGGCCTGCTCTTGCTGCTTTCTCCCCCAGCCAGGGCCCCTTGCCTTGCTCCAGGAAGGAGATCATGTCAGGTTTGGAGACGGCAAGACCTGGATGGGAGAAACACATGCCACCCAGTTATGGCGTGGGGCCCCCAGAATTCAGATCCAGGAGCTGGTCACTGAGCAGGAGAGACCAGAGGAAGTCTGACAGTCCCTGTGGGCTGGGGAAGACACGGCATCAGCCCATGGAGCTGCTCTTTGACTGCTGAAAAGGTACTCGGAAATTGACAAGCAAGGAACGGATACGCCCAGGATAACATCCCAACTAACACACCAGGCCGCCTTACCCAGTGAGACCAGGTTGCTGTATGTCTCCAACATCACGTCTCTGTACAAGTCCCTCTGAGCAGGTCCCAGCCGCTCCCATTCTTCTTGGGAGAAGACTACGGCCACATCCCTGAACACGTCTGACTCCTGAAACAACAGGCAGGTTTGTTATTTGCATGCTTCAAGGAAATGTTTCTTGATGGGGTGAGAGGAGATGCAGGTGGTCTCGGCAGGAATGGGGTGTTCTGGTGAAAAGGAAACTGGGGTGGGAGGCCTCCAATGTGAGCGGGTGACAAGAGAGGGTGGGCATGAGGAAAACAGTGTTGAAATGTTCTTGAACATTCCTTTTTATTACAAACCAAAGCTCTGTACACAGATCTGGGAGGAAAATTAAAAGCCAGCTAAGTGGAGTCTTCCCCAGTGTGACACACTTTATAATAAAGCACACTGCCTGCTCTGTCCTTGGGATACAACAAATTCCCAACGAGAGACCTGTAATTTCAACAACAACAAACCAAACCAACAATTTCTGATAGACTTACCCCCAAATGTCTTACTGAAGAAATGTTTCTATGTTAGAAAATAAGATATTCATATAAATTGAGATTTAGTTGAAGACGTGGATTCGCCATTATGTCACCATATCAAAGCATTCTTTCTTACGAGAAAACTCTTAAATTAACATTACTTTTATGAGCTGTACAATTTTCTATCAAGTGAAAAGATGCCTCAACCGTTCTCTTATTTTGTATGTAGAAGTTGGATCAGATCTCTGAAGGCTCTTCCAAGCTCGGACTATCTAGATTCTGAAAAATTCATCCATCTGGCCAGTTGTCTCACAATACACAACTGCACTTCTCTTGCTCTTAGGCTGAAGAAGCTGCTGGAAGATGACCCACATTCAAAGGGTCCGTTCATCCTTGAAAGTGGACCTTACTTCTGGTGTCTAATTTCTCCGATTTCCAGCAAAGGCTCAGTGACACACCCAATCGTTGATCCCTCCCAAAGCGGGAGACGGCGCCGAGACCAGTTCCCATGCTTTTCCATGTCACAGTGATCACAAGTATTCATCTCTATTTCATCCACCCTCGGTTCTCATTTTACACAAGGAAATGGATTTCTGCTCTATCTAGCTTCCTGGCAGAATACCACACTATCACATGTGGAATGCTGTGCAGACTGAATCCATGGGCAGTGGTCAGAATAGAGGGGGCAGCGGGAGACGGGACTAGCTACCTGGTCTTTTTAGTCTCTAAAATGGGAACCTCTGAAAACCAGATTCTTGAATGAGATCCAGGTGGGAAGCTTCAAGATACAGAAAGCAAATATTGACATGAATTTAAAACTCACAAGGGACATGACTTTTAGAATGTCATGGGCTGACGGGTCCTCCTCCTGCCTCCTCTCTTGGGGAAGCCAGAATCCGGAGACGGCAGAGCTGGGGGAGGAAAGAGCAAACATGAGAGGCCAAACCTGCCTCACAGCTCCCAGAACCATGGCTACAAGCCCCGCCTTCTTATCCCCCACCCCCACAAGAATGAGAGATGGGTCCTGGCGGTCGTCCTTACCCAGCTTCAGGAAACACAACTCTACTGCTGCAACGTGACCGGGAACCAGTGGCCCTTTCTCTCCGACTTCCCCTAAATCCCAGAGAATTCCACCTCGTTACTGATGCAAATCTGTGGCGGGGAGCTCAGTCCTGGTCCAGTGACTATGGCCACATGGTGTCCCAAGGACAAGAAAGGTAGTCCTCAGGCCAGGGAGCACCGCCTGCCTCACCAGCATTGGCCCGGCCCACAGTGAAGCCTTCCCAGAAACATAACATTTAACTCGCTCATGCCCACAATGTAACACCTTCAGAGGTCTCCCCGGCTCTTTACGCAACTTCCAAATTCACAAAGAACCCTACAGACCTACCTAACGCCTGGTGGACATTACTTCGTGGACCCTGCCTTGAGTCAATAAAAGGGGTGCGGGTGCAATGGGCAAATCACACGACTCCATTTTCATCACATCCATATAACTCTGTACAGAGACATAACAGCGAGCAAAGCTGTGTGCACAGTATTTATTGAAAAATAGAGCAAAAATCAGTATTTAGCAGTGCACAAGTGGGCAAGTGGTTGAATCACTTTTGGCCCAGCCATATGACGGAACACCAAATAACTATCAAAAATGATGGGGGGCAACATTAACTAACAAGGAAAGATATTCACAAGTAGTCTCTGTATACAACATGAGAACATTCTGGAAAAGAGATCAAATCACCCACCTGCTTGCACATGGGCTTAAAAAAACGATTGGAATAAAAACATCCAAGTATTAAGAATGATGTTTAACCACTTTGTGAGTTCATCATTAAACGAGGAGTATTTTCGAAAGAAACTTAGAACAATGCCTGGCATGTTACAAACGTCTAATTCTAAGTAATGTGTAAATGAAATAACTGATAATATGTAATAGGAATTTTTTAAATAATGACCACTATTTTAGCATTATCTGTAATAGTTTCGTAATATTTTATTACAAAAAAGTGGCCCACGATTTACTCAACCGTTTCCCCATTGCTGGACAAAGATTTTTCTACAAGGTCATCTAAAATGTTCTCAAATTTCAGTCTCTGCTTCTGAACTAGTGGTGCTAAATCTTTTGAGGTCTTGCAATTCTTTGAGAATCTTATCAAACAAGACTCCATCCCAAATTAAAAAAAAAAAGACACGAGTAAAATGACTGTAAAACATCCACCAGCATTTTCGGGGAGTCGGGACCCCGTCACACCCACCTAAGGGGTCCATAGATAGAGGCTATGAGCCTGGACACGGAAAGGGGTCGCTAGCGGCGGGGGTGGGGCGCCACAGAGGCCGATGGGAAATGTAGTCCAGAGCCCGGGAAGCCGCTGACCGACGCTGGGGAGAGACGTTCCGGTTCTTCCCAGGCCCGAGATCCGCCCGGCTGTGGCGCCCGCTCCCACACGGATCCCGGAGCACCTGGAAAGCTCCAGAGCCCCTCACCTGCCAACTCCTCGGATCCAGGGGCAACCGTGGCCGCGCTCCAGCAGGCCCGGGTGCGCTTCCTCCTCGGTATCGGCGGACCCGCCGCCTGAAGCCGGAAGATGGCGCAGGCGCACAACGCACCGCCGACGCTGCCTCGCGAGTGGGCCAACGCCGCAGTCTCTTCTGGGAAACGCAGTCTTTGGACACAGAGGCGCCGCTAGGCCGCAAGGCCGATGTCGCGATGTTTCGGGATGGGCGGGCCCGGGATGCACGCGTGTGATGGAGGGACTTGCCGGATTCGAGGGAGAGTGTTCGAGGCCCCGCGTGGCCGCCGGCGGGTCTGCGCGTCAGGTGCGCGGTGTGTGGTACGATCGCGTCTTTGGTGGTGAGTGCGGTGTGTGTCGTGTGTGGTGCGGGCCCGTCGTTGCGTGTGACTGGGACCTGGCCACTCTGGGAACACGCTCGTGTGTGCATCAGCGTTTCCGGAGAGCAGCCACTTTAACCAGAAGGTTTAGAAGGAGAAAAAATATTGAAATAAATGTAGGTTATGAGGGAGATTGCAGAATAAGCAAAATTGTTTCTATTTATTTATTTTTTAAAATTTATTTTGAGAAAGACAGAGTATGAGCAGGGGAGGGGAAAGAGGGGGTGGGGGTGAGACACAGAATCCAAAGCAGGCTCCCCCCTCCGAGTGGTCAGCACAGAGCTCAATGTGGGGCTCGAACTCATGAAGTGGGATCATGACTGGGCGGAAGTCAGATGCTCAAGGCACTGAGCCACCCAGGTGCCCCTAAAGTTTATTATTTGTAATTTCTACAGCCACCAGGAGACTTGAATGCAAGACCCCAGCATCAAGAGTCATATGATCTTCCGACCGAACCAGAGGGGCACCCAGCAAAAATGTTTTAAACAAGATGACAAGGAGTTTCCACTTGTGGAGGACAGCTCTCTGCCAAGTCCCCCAGACCACAGGCAGTTGGACCTTGGTGTGCCACGTTTGAAACGCTCCTGGACCTGACACATCCCAGAACGGCATGGTCCAGTGTGGTCGAGCTTCCGATGTCCTGGATGCTGTTCAGGCCATGTGAGGCCTGGTCCCTGAGTGGGGAAGCCACCTCTGCCCACGCGGTACGGCTGTCCTTGACCTGGAGTCCAGAGCTCCTGTCTCTGGAACTGGTCTTGTTTGCCTCAGACCGTGTATTCTGTCATCTTCTTTGAATCATTTCATCTGAGATTTGTCAGTGTCTGCATTGTTGCACATTTCAAGGATGTCAGCACCTCTAAGTTAACTTAGACATTTAACTTAAACCCAGTAAAAATGCCAGTACTGTTTTCCTCTTTGGAAATAGATAAGTTGGTAGAAATGTCAAAATGAAAAAAATATACATACGAGAATGCCTAGGAATAGGAATGCTCTGAAAAACAAAAGCTGTGAACATGTGCTAAACCTGACGATGTTAAAGTATTAGAAAAAGTTTCCATAATTTATTTTTTTAATGTTTATTTTCAAGAGAGAAACAGAGAGCATGAGCAGGGGAGGGGCAGAGAGAGAGGGAAACACAGAATCCAAAGCAGACTCCAGGCTCCGAGATGTCAGCACAGAGTCCAAAGCAGGGCTCAAACTCATGAACTGCAAAATCCTGACTGAGCCAAAGTTGGACACCTAACCCACAGCCACCCAGGTGCCCCAAAGCTTTCCATAATTTAGATGAATGGATAAAGAAGATGTGGTACATACATACAGTAGAATATTACTCAGCTTTAAAAAAGAATGAAATCTTGCCCTTTGCAATAACATGGATGGATATAGAGGTTAAAATGCTAAGTGAAGTAAATCAGTCAGAGAAAGACAAATATTGTTTTAAATCATATGTGGAGTTTAAGAAACCAAACAAAAATATTTAACTATAGAGAATAAACTGATGGTTTTCAGAGGGAAGTCAGGTGGCAGGTGGGGAGATGGGTGAAATAGATAAAGGGGATTAAGAGCACACTTATCATGATGAACACAGTAATGCATAGAATTGTTGAGTCACTATATTGTACACCTGCAACTAAGATAGCAGTGTTAATTATACCAGAAATTTTTAAAACTTGCATAATTATACCTTTCTGATATTGGCTCTTGAACAATCGGACCAACAGAAGAAAACAGAAAGTCAGAAATACTATCAAAAACAGTGGAAATTTCAGTCTATAATAAAGGTGGCAAATCACTAGGGTTGAAAGGACTTTTTTTTTTAATTTTTTTTTTTTTTTTAATTTCTAGGAGAGAGAGAGAGACAGCGTGAGCAGGGGAGGGTCAGAGAGAGAGGGAGTCACAGACTGAATCAGGCTCCAGGCTCTGAGCTGGCAGTCAGCACAGAGCCCGACGCGGGGTTCGAACCCTCGAACCGCGAGATCATGACCTAAGCGAAAGTCGGACGCTTGACCGACTAAGCCACCCAGGCGCCCCTAAAAGGACTTTTTAATAAATAACCTTGGGGGAAAATGGAGAGTCATTTAGAAAAAAAGTAAAATTGGGTTCATGCTCTATATCATGCAAGAGAATAAACTCCATATTGATCAGAGATAAAAATTCATACAAGTACCAGAAACGTACAAAGTTGAATTCCATTGTAGCCTGGATGTGTGAAAAGACTTTCTAGTGATGATACAAAAATCCAGACTTAAGACGTACCTTTTAGAACTTAAAACTAAAGCACTTTTGTGTGGCAAAATACACCATAAGCAAAGGTAAGAGACAACATCAGAGAATGTTACAACCTTGTATATATCAGATAATATATATCAGATAATATATAAAGACAAAACTGCAAGCAATTTCTGAACTCAATTTAGAAGATTTGTTTTCATCATAGCATAGGTGTAGTGATTTGGAAACTATTTTGTATGTGGGTTCGAGCCCCGCGTCGGGCTCTGTGCTGACAGCTAGCTCAGAGCCTGGAACCTGCTTCAGATTCTGTGTCACCCTCTCTCTGACCCTCCCCTGCTCATGCTGTCTCTCTCAGAAATAAATAAAACATTAAAAAAAAAATTTTTTTAAAAAGGAGGGACGATTCCCTGCTTTGAACTATGATAATGTAATTGCACTGCACCTGCCATCACATTCTAAACAGGAAACTAGATCATTGTAGAAAACAAGTCTTTTCAGATATTGGACAGCAAGTAGTGCAAGACTTTGATCCCTGAGAGAAGGGAAGTAAGTGAGATTCTATCATCGCAATGGCTTTCTCTCCGAAGACATATCACACGCCGCAGGGCAGAGAGGAGGAACGAAGGCAGAGCACCGATGTGCTAAGCTGACACAAACAACAGTTTCGGGGAAACTGGAGTGACTGGAGTTCATGGGGGCAGAGTGTGGAAGAGGAGTGGAGTAGGTATTTCCACCAAACAAGGCCTCAGTAGCTGTGGGTGGCGGCCATGCGCCTCTGCCCTCTGAACTGTGGACGAGCCAATATGGTGGAGCCTTGGAGAATGCATCTTCAGAGACAGACATTCGCTTCATGATACCACAGAGGCCACAAACACTCATGGAAACAGAACCAAATACAGAGAGTCTTGGCTGGGACCTGGAAGAGGGTGTGAGGATTCACCGAGGAGAAGGTCACGGGGCCGTTTCAGGCTTGTGCTATGCCAGGCGTCTCCCAGAAATGACGACAGAGGATGCAATTAACATCAAGGCCTTTGGACAGGCCGGTAGAGTGGGTGGTTCGGCGGGGGCTCCTGAGGCTGTGAGCATGAGGCAGAGAGATGACCTACCTACCTGGAAACACATTTGAGCTGGGCCATAAACCCATAACGCGCCAAAGCAAGGAGTCCCAGGTCCCTAAGTAAAGGCGGGTAGAATGGCCAGCCAGTGTGGCCAGACTGGACTCTGATCGCAGGCAGACAAAGGGGGCTGCCTTCTCTACTTGTCCTGACTCGTGGGGTCAGGACTACATTTCCCATAAGTGACTGTGGCTCGGGGCCAACCATCTCTCCCTCCCACTGAATGTGCACATCAGGCCTAATCTAGGAACAGAATGGTACCAGAGGGGGATGGGAGAAGCAGTTGGATTCGGTGTATATTTTAAAGGTGGAGCTAACAGGATTCACTGATTTATGCGGCGGAGTAGCAAGAGATCAGGAGTAGTGAAGGATAAGTCCAGGGGATCCTGAGATGAATAACTGGAAGAACAAACATCACCGGAGGAGAGGAAAACATTGAGAAGAGTGCATCTTTGGAGGGGAGATTGGGTGTTTGTTTTCGAATGACAGTTTGACATGTTAGACATACAAGTGGGAACATGGAGGATCATTTCACGGGCAGAGTCTGGGCTACAATCTTAAGTTAGGAAATATTTTTATCACCTAGCTAATTTATATTCTGTTATGTACTGAGGCAAGTCAGTGTTTTTCATTTATCCTCTCTACCTTTTATTTTGCTCAAAAGTTGTTTTCCTTCCATAAATTATAAATGTTCATCTTTATTTTTCTGTAGAACTTTATGAGGATATTTACAAGTGTATTTATTACAGTTTGTTTGTAATTTGTTATGCCATAGGGTGTGATGAATCAATGCTATCTGTAATACTTGCACTTTGAAGATTTAGTTTCCTTCATGATCTATAAATGATTAAATGTAAATATTACGTGGTTATTTTAAGAGAATGACTGGGGCGCCTGGATGGCTCAGTTGGTTAAGCGTCCAACTTTGGCTCAGGTCATGATCTCACGGTTCGTGGGTTCAAGCTTCACATCGGACTCTGTGCTGACAGCTCGAAGGCTGGAGCCTGCTTTGGAGTATGTGTCTCCCTCTCTCTCTACCCTTCCCCTCTCAAAAATAAACATTAAAAAATTTAAATATAAATAAAGAATGACTATTTTTTTTCCCTCTACATAGTAGTTCTCTTTTATCTCTTTTTGTTTAATTTTAATACTACTCTGATATGTTGGGTCATTTGGATCTATTTTTTATTCTTTGAGGTGGTCTTATAATTTTAATTTCTTTGATGTCTGTATTAGATACCTACTGTTGCATAACAAATTACCTCAGAACTTAATGGCTTACACAATAGTCAGCACTTACCATGTCTCCCAGTGTCTGTGAATCAAGGTTTCAGGAGCAGTTTAGCCGGATGTAGTCAAGATGTCTGTCATTTGAAGGCTTAACTGGGGCTAGAATCTCTGCTTCCAGGTGTTCCATTCACACGGCTAGCAAACTGGTGTTGGCTTTCCGCAAGAGGCCCCGGTTCCATTCCATGTGGCCTTTCCATATGGCTGACTGTCTTTGTGAGAGAGAGAGCACAAGCAGGGGAGGGGGCAGAGGGAGAGAGAGTCTTAAGCAGGCTGTATACTCAACATGGAGCCCAACGCAGGGCTTGATCCCACAACCCTGAGATCATGACCTGAGTTGAAATCAAGAGTCAGATGTTCAACTGACTGAGCCACCAAGGCTCCTCTACACTAATGTCTTGATGCCTCCCCATTCTGTCCAATCCACAGTTGCCTTGTCAACCACTTCCCAAGAGACCATCACTCTCTCTGTAAAGTGCCTTGAGCCAAAGCACATGCCGAACAACTCCAGCTCCCTCTCCTGTGAACCCAGATAGATTCATGCTTTTGCCACGTTCCTTCTCTTCACAAAGGTACCACCAGCTATCAGTGACTGGATCAACTATGGGGAGGCCTTGTCCCATCGCGCTCTGAACAAGGAGGCAAAGAAACAACAACAACATGGATTCTAACCCTATCTTAGGTTCTTACTCCTTGCATGACCGTGACTTTGGGCACCTCCCATAACTCTTTGACATACAATCTACATAATGAAGGAAACATAACTGTGAGTGTTTTTTCTGTTTTTCCTTTTCATTAATGGCAATTATCCAAGATTAATCCTGTGTTCTGTTGTTACTACTGACATTTCTATATACTGTTTTTAAGATTGTCTATTAACCAGAAGAAAATTCAAACACATTTTCAGTATGTCAGTGTTTTAATATTTCAAGTATGTATTTGTAAAGAAAGTTTTATAGATAATATATATTTGAGCCCTCAATTATTTAAGAAGTGTTTTAGTTTTTTCAAATTTTCTAATATTTTACCTAGATTGCTATTCATCTGGGGTTGAATAGCAATCTTGAAACTGTCTTCGTAGTTTTTGTTATTATCCTTGCATCTAAGTCTATCCACTCTAGTTGTGTGACCTTATATCAGAGAACTGTGTCATATTTTTAAATAAATTTTTTTGAGGGGGCAGGACAGAGAGGAAAGAGAGAATCCCAAGCAGGCTCCGCGCTATCAGCATGAGCCCAACTCAGAGCTTGATCTCATGAACCACGAAATCATGACCTAAGCCAAAACCAAGTCAGATGCTTAACCAACTGAGCCACCCAGGTACCCTCTTTTGTCCATTTTTGTTATTTGTATTTGTGTGAATCAGATGTAAGTCTTCTTTATATATTCTTAATACAAGTCCCTGTCAGATATCTGAACTGATTTTTGACATAGGTACAAAAACAATTTAATGGAGGAAGAATAGCCTTTTCAATAAATAGTGGAGCAGCCATTAGACAGTCATGTCCAAAAAGATAAAGGAAAAAAAAAAGAAAAGAAAAAGAGGGATGGATAACTTTGACCTCATAATTTAAAAAAAAAATTATATATACTCAGATTTGCTCCCAAACTAACCCCTAAAAATATAAATGTATTCCATCTTCATTGTGACAATTAAAGGCAAAATAAATGACTTCTCTGTCTTGAGGAATATATACTTTATTTCTACTTCTCAAGACTATGTAATTAGATTATAACATTAAACTTAGTCTCTGGGCAGACATCTGTTTGCTGATTACCAATTCAAAATTGATAAATGTATTTATTATGCAGATGAACATAAATATGATTCACTTAGTGATTACTGCCAAGCTTTGTAGTGGGTTCTGCCAACAGAAGAAGCTTAAGAAATAATGGCTGAAACAAAAAAATATTACCACAAATTTTCAGGCTACAAATACCTAACCTCTTTATATATTTGTGAAATGTGGGAAAGGCTGTAAAAACCCGGAAGTTTATTGATGTGTCTTAACTTACAAAAGGTTTGTCTGTATGGCCTTCAAAAGCAAGGGGGAAGATAATCAAACATAAAAACAACTACAATTTTTGTGGATTGTGCTCCTTTTATTACACAGGAACAGTTTCCCAATATTGCTGCCTTGGTGCCATTCTAACAACTTTGTTCCTCCTTTAAAAAAAACATAACCCAAAAGGATTTTCACATATTGCTTTACCATCACACAATTTTTATTAAGTTGGAGTTTCAAACCGATAGATTTACCATTATTTAATCATAGTTCTACTCATAGCCTATTGTTTACATTCAACATTTTATTACTATAAGGGAGTCAATTAATATCTTTGAGAATATATTTGCATTTTAAAAACTTCAATAGAAAAATGCCCAGCTCATATAATGCTTCTTGTCATCGGTAACTTTGGGGAGATGAATTGCATGAAGGCCTTGAAGGGCATAACCCAATTTCGGTAAGGATGAGACTTGAACAGGAGTTAATGAAATATATTCAAAGACATAGGTTGAAGAATAGGAATAAGAGGGTGGATGGACCTGAATGATCTAGAAACTTTTTTTTCATTTTTAAAAGTTTACTTATTTTTTAAGTAATCTCTAAACCCAGGGAGGGGCTTGCACTCACACCCCAACCAAGATCAAGAGTCGCATGCTCACTTCCCAGTACATATATATATATTTATTTATATATTTATATTTATATATTTAATATATACGTTTATATATTTTAAATATATTTTTTAATTGAATTTCTCCCTCATTAGAATGTCAGTCACGTGAGGGTGGGGATGTGCGAGTTCTGCTCCGCTCCCGCACCGCCCACCCAGCAGCCCAACAGGGACGCTGGCCCGCGGGCCCGCCCACTACGCGTGCACACCTTGACCTCGCCCGACTCGTGCGCCAGGCTCGTAACCCGCTTGGGTCCCTACGGGGACCGAGGGCGCTGCAGACTCGGTCGGCCTGACCGGGCTGCGCAGGTCCTGGTCCTGTGTTAGAAGGCCCGGAGTTTCGGGAGCGCGGCGCAGACGCCCAGGGGCGGGAGCAGGAGCCGTCTGCCGGCCATCCCAGGATGCCCCGCGCCGCCCGGACTCCATTTCCCGGCGGCCCCCGCGGCGGCCCCAGCTGCCCGCCCGCGCGCCGCGGCCCCTTTGTGAGCCCGCCGATCCGGCCGCCAGCGAGGCCCCGCCCCGGCCCGCGGGCCGCTGGGCTCCCGGCGGCCGACGGCTCGCAGGGAGGTGCCGACCCCCGGGGAGGAGGCGGTGAGAATGCCCGGGAAGGGCGCGCGCGCCGGCGGGCCTGCGGGGCTGGAGCGGGCGTGCGAGGGGGCCTGTGACCTTGGGAGACCGTGTCACGGCGTGCGTGCGCCTGTGTGTGCCTGTGCGAGCGTCTGTGACCATGACAGTGACGGTGAGTGTGCAGCTGTGTGTGTGCGATCCTGTGACACGGCGTGAGGTTGTGTAACCTTCTGTTGGTGTGACAGTGCGACCCAGTGTGAGGGGACGGGTGCCAGGCGAGCTGCCAGCACGAGGGCTGTGTGGCTCCTGCGGCGGCTGGGTGTTCTCGGAGACCCGGCGGTCCGGGCGAGCCTGAGCGGGACTGGGATGGAAGGGAACACCTGAGAGAGGAGGGGGAGGGAGGGGGGTGCCCCAGCTTCAGGCCCGGAGGGCAGATGAGGCTGCTGGGCCTTAGCCCTCTCTGGTACAGAAGGAGGGTCTTTCCCTTCCTCTCCTGGGCTCTGCAGTAGGTGAGGAATTGAAGAGGAAAAAGGAAGAGAAGACCTACTGTGTGCTATTTGTTACCATAAATAATTGATATTTACTGAACACAAGGATGTGCGAAGCACTGGGTGGAATGCTTCCTGTGGATCACCTCATGAGCCTCCCAGCAACTGATAGGGAATAGGTACCATTTCACTGGTGAGGAAACTGAGATTTGGAGTGGATACGTAAGTCATGGAGGTTGCAGAGCCCCGGAGTGCTGGACCCAGTATCTGCGGGCAGGTGTTCTGATCCCCAAACCAGGTGGTTCTTACCATTATGTTATGTTGCTTCTAAGATAATTGCTTTACTCTCCAAGGAAGATAGGTTTACTAGAAAATAACTCATGATTAGGTGTTTCAGTAACTGCAAATGCATAGCCCCTTCTTCGATCTCTTTTTGAGGAAATTGCTCAGAAAAGTTCAGCAATTGGTTTCCAGGTAGAGTTTGTCATAAGCCACGGCTACAAGCAGAGTGTTCTGACTCTTTGGTCCAGTGTCTTCCAGACCACACGACCCCTCTGATGCCTACTCTGTATAAAGATGCTTTCTCCGAGGCATTGTTTGTAGCTTTATCTCATTTCGTAGTAAGGGTGGTAACATATTCCCTTTTAGTATCATTATCTGATGGAAAGACTAAAAAGTCAAACCTGGATTCCAGTTGGGCTCAATTACTTACTATGAAGCCTTGGATAATTTCACTGATGAACCGATTTCTTGTGTGAGAAGAAAGAGTCCTTACTTGAGAGTTCTATTTATGGTTTCTTTCTCCCTCTTCAGCTCTATTTTTCAAGACACTGCCCTTCCAGTGAGGAGCCTGGAGGAGAACAGAAGAGCTGTCATAAATTCTTAACGCCATGTCCAAGGTAAGGAAGGATTTCTTCTCCCTGAGGTGCTTTGTTTTTCAGGTTTTATATCATTATCTTGCTTTTCTTCTGAAATTCCCCAGCTAACAAAGCACCATTCATTCGGTGACCTGGTCCTCATGTTCTTCAATGCGGTAAAAGGAGGTCCCCAAAAACCCAGTGATCTTCCTTTGTTCCTCAACTGGCATTTTCATCTTCGTTCAAGAAATAGCTCAGCTCCTCCTATGGGTTAGGTGTTTTGTTAGGAGCTCTCAGAAGGCAAAAATGCACTCCCTGCAGGGATATGAAAGCCCTCATTTTAGGGATTTGATTCATTGAGGTCAAGGTGTTCTGATGTGACCACTAGCTGAAAGCTTTTTCACAGACCCAGGTTTGAGAGGAAGGCAAGACAAAAGCTATTGGGCAGTCTTAGTTATAGTACTTGACAAGATCTCTTGCTCAAGGTCATTTTGAAGTGTGGGATGTGTTGGGTTTGGAGTGTTAAAGTGTGAGTCAGTGAGCGCAAAGATTTTCCTAGGCACTCAGTGGGCTCATAAGAATAGGATTCCATGGGAGTAATAAAGTCCTATCTTAGGGACATTTTGAGTTAGTAGTGGACTACAGATAGGATATTCTAGGTCATGCAGTTAAAATTAGCGAAATCAGTATGGAAAAATAGCAGGACACTTTTTGAAAAAATGAGAATAGAAGAGGTACTTGAATTTATAGTTTAAAATGGTTGCATACATGTATAATGAAAACAGTAAATACTGTGGAATGGGAACTAGAAGAAACAAATGAAAAGATCAACATATAATGCCCAGAAACAAATGCCAGTACAAATAAGAATGGAAAATATTTACTCATTCACTGAACATAGTTATTAAAGACTTAATGTATACTAAATGCTGGCAGTAGTGTGGCAAATAAGAAGAGACATTTTGTTTTCATAGTTTAATGTCTACTTATTTGTTTATTATGATAATGTAAATGTTGTTATTTTATTTTTTTTAAATGTTTATTTTTTTTACAGAGAGCATGAGCTGGAGAAGGGTAGAGAGAAGGGACAGAGGATCCATAGTGGGCTCTGTGCTCACAGCAGAGAGCCTGATACAGGGCTTGAACTCCCAAACTGTGAGATTACGGCCTGACTAGAAGTTAGACACTGAACCAACTGAGCCATCCAGGCACCCTTGTGATATTACTGTAAAGTTTATTTATTTATTTTGAGAGAGAGAGAGAGATAGAGTACAAGAGGAGGAGGAGCAGAGAGAGAGGGAGAGAGGTAATCCCAAGCAGGCTCTACACTACTAGTGGAGTGTCGGACGCTTAACCAGTTGAGCCACCTAAGAGCCCCATAAGTGATACTATTTTAAATCAGTGGAGACAGAATGGATTATTCATTTAGAAAAGACTCCTTCCTCACACTTTGAGGTTAAATACATTCTGTAGATTAAATGTAAAAAAACTATGTGAAATGCTGGATGAAAATATAGAACATGGCTGTAAACAAGAAATGAGCCAGAAGAGAAATCAGCTAGAGCAGCACTGTCCAGTAGAACTTCCTGTGCTGATTGATAATAGAAATGTTCTACGTCCACACTGGCCAGCACAGTAGCCAATAGCTACCTGTGGCTTGGAGCTCCTGGATATACTAGTGTGACTAAAGAACTGAATTTTTAATGTTAATTGATTTAAAGTGAAATAGCCACATGTGACTAGTAGCTAGTGTATTGGGTAGCAAAGATCTAGGATCATAAAATAATAAAGCCAGAACGAAAATTGTGGGTGATCTTGTCCAAGCCACTTATTTTATAGACGAGAAAAACAGGCCAAGTGAGGAAAATGACATATCTATGTTACTAGTTAGTGACTGTATCAGATGTAAGAAGTTATAGTATATGTTGATTGATAATATAAATAGATGATGGTGAGTGATGATTTAAAGATGGCAGTAGAAAATAATGAAGGACACTGTGAACAGTGATGGAACACATCATTTCATTCCTCTGTTTGGCATCTTCATTGGCTTCTCATTTTACTTGGAATGAAATCCAGTGTCCTTTCCACAGTTTCTAAGGCCCTGCATGGTCCAGTTCCTGGCTACCCCAGACCTCATTTTCTATAAGTCTTTCTGTGCTCCAGTCACACTGGCCAGTTAGCTGTTCGGCGAGCTTACCCAGCTCTTTCCTGTCTCTGAACCTTTGCATTTGCTCCTCCCTCTTCTGTAATCCTCTTCCCTTAGATGTTGGCATGGCTTGCTCTCTCACTTTTAGATTGTTGTTCAAACATTACTGCTTCCTTCAGGTTTACCTTGATTGTCTTACCTAAAACAAACACCTTGTCACTCGGAATGACCTTCCCTTGTTGTTTTTGTTTTTTATCATAGTATGACCTTATGTTTAATGTCTTTCTCCTACATTAGAATATTAACTCCACAAGAGGAAGGACTGTATTTCGGTCACCATTGTATTCCCAACACTTGGAACATTACAGGGAGTAGGCATTCAGTAAATATTTGTCAAACTAGGGGCGCCTGGGTGGCTTAGTTGGTTAAGCGTCCGACTTTCGCTTAGGTCATGATCTCACGGTTCGTGGGTTCGAGCCCCGCGTCGGGCTCTGTGCTGACTGCCAGCTCAGAGCCTGGAGCCTGTTTCGGTCTGTGACTCCCTCTCTCTCTGACCCTCCCCTGCTCACGCTGTCTCTCTCTCTGTCTCTCTCCTAGAAATAAATAAAACATTTAAAAAAAAATTTGTCAAACTAATGTATAAATGAATAAGATTATGAAGTCCTCACCTGTAAGAGAGACCAGAAAGGTTAAGAGCCAGCTACCTCTTTTCTCCTACCACTGAATTAGTAATGGAAAAAGCAAAAAGCAGAGGGTAGGATGTATAGAATAGACAGAGCCCATCAGCACAAAGGCAGTTTCTGGGATCCCACAAATCAGTCTCTGAATCAGTCTCTGGTGAGGGGATCCAGGAAACCACATTTTTATTAAGTCCAAAAATGATTTTTTAATGTGTTTTTTAATGTTTTAAAAATTCATTTGTTTTTGAGAGAGAAAGAATGAGAGGGGGAGGGGCAGAGAGAGGAGACACAGAATCTGAAGCAGCTCCAGGCTCTGAGCTGTCAGCACAGAGCCTGATGCGGGGCTCGAACTCCTGAACCATCAGATCATGACTTGAGCCAAAGCCAGATGCTTAACTGACTGAGCCACCCCGTCGCCCCACGTCCAAGGATGATTTTAACGCACAGTTTTTGAAAGCCTCTCCTGAAGATCACACTAACGTGCGCCTCTTGTAAACAGCATAGTGTTGGTTGCGGCTTGAGGCCTCCCACAGTCCCCGTGCCTGCCACCGTTCTCCACGCTCGCAGCCAGGCCCCGCGTGCTTCCCGTGGTCTCCTGTGCCTCCCACAATCCCAGATCTCCCTCAAAACACTGATTTTTTTTTTTAAGACATCCAGTCTGAGAATACTTGTCTTTTTTTTTTTTTTAATATTTTTATTTATTTCTAGGAGAGAGAGAGACCGCGTGAGCAGGGGAGGGTCAGAGAGAGAGGGAGACACAGACTCCGAAACAGGCTCCAGGCTCCGAGCTGGCAGTCAGCACAGAGCCCTATGCGGGGCTCGAACCCACGAACCGCGAGATCATGACCTAAGCGAAAGTCAGACGCTTAACCGACTAAACCACCCAGGCGCCCCTAAGAACACTTGTCTTTTAATTAGTGTTTAGTACATTTTCATTTACTGTAATTACTGATGTATTTGTAATTTGTCTATCATATTGTGGTTTGTTTTCTACTTATTCCATCTGTTCTTTGTTCCTTTATTTCTTCTTGTTTACCTTTTTCTGGATAAATCAAGTACTTTTTCCTTATCTTGTTAATTATACATTCTTCTTCTTCTAGTGGCCACTCTAGGATATTTACCTGTATCATTATGTAATTAGCTCCTTTCTTCCTTCTGCAATCTTCTTCTATAGTTAGTACTCTTATTACTTTCTGAACAAGATAAGGCCCCATAGTGATTTAACTCCAATTTATTACTATTATTAGATATTATGTTTATAGTTATTCCTTTGGGGCTCTTAATTTCTTCTTGATTTTCCTTTCCATTTCTTTCCATTTCCCTCCACCTAAAGAACCATTAGTATTCCTTTGAGTCAAAACTTTTCTCCCTGCCTGAATTATTTTTTCAGTAGCTCCTATTCTTGCTAGATCAAAATAGTATAATTTAAATTTTTTCTGAGGTTAAGTAAGTTTGGGGAATCCTAGTCTCCGTGAAAAGAATATCTTCTAGGATTCATTTTAAGGAAATAGTTAAGAGACCTCTGTTGAATCTTTAATTCAATATATAATAATATTACATGAGAACTATAATGTTAAAATCATGAGAATCCCTATTCTCACATTCTGAGAAATTAAGATTCATATAAACGAAAATAAACAAGGGGTTAGTAAATAAGGTTCAGCATATTTATACCACATAATGTTATCAATCAACAAAAGTGATTTTATAAGTGAATGTGAATAGGTAATCATAGACATGTGAATAGGTAATCATAGACATGTCTATATAAGGAAACATTTGAACAAATACATACTAACTGTATATTTTTATGTTTCTAGGAGGTAAGGTGACATGGTGGGTAGTTGTGGGCATGGAGGACTTCCAATTCTTTTGACTTTTTTTTTTTTTTTTTTTTAGTGTTTATATTTTGAGAGAGAGAGAGTGTGAGCGGGGGAGGTACAGAGAGAGAGGGACACACAGAATCTGAAGCAGGCTCCAGACTCCAAGCTGTCAGCACAGAGCCTGATGCGGGGCTCAAGCAGGGCTCGAAACTACAAGCTGTGAGATCATGACCTGAGTGGAGGTTGGCTGCTTAACCGACTGAGCCACCCAGGCGCCCCTCTTTTAACTTCTAAAAAATCACTGAGGGTAGAAATGCTGACATTCTTTGATAAGTTTCTTTGATACTTACAAATTGTATGAAATTTCTGTTTTACCAAATCAAAATAAATATTAAAATATTTGCAAGATATTCAAGTCTCCATTGGCTGAGAGGAAAAGGTCAGTCAGTCAGTTGAAACCTAGAATCCTTTAGGATGTGCAGGTAAAAAATGTCTTTTAACAGTTTTACCTAGCAAAAGCTGCCTCACCTGTTTCTAGTGGAAATGTGTGTAGAACACTTTTTTTTTGCACAAAATATTAGTTTGTATTGAAGTGTTTGAGTTTTAATAGAATTTATGATTGACAGTATCCAGCCCAAGACCCAACTCATGTTCCCTTCCTTCCTTAAAGCCTTTACTCACGTCCTATATTTCCCTGTAATAAGAAGTGTTTTAGAGATGGAAGCATGTAAGATCAGGCTGATGCATGTAACTGATGTTTCTTGAAGGCATACTTCTGCTTCCCTTATAGCTTCCTTAACATTTGTGTCCATTACTTGGGCACTAGCCCAATATTGACTCATTTTTTCCATTAAAAATATTTGCATAAAATCACTGATGTAGTTAAGTACATCTTCAGTGGGTCCATTCCACTGCAGAGTCACATTAATAGGAGTGATGTTCACATCTGATGACCACTAAGGCAAGGGCACACACCAGAACTTACCCTAGCTGGGATACTGGAGGCCACTGGAGGCTGGGCATTTCCCTTCAGTTGCTGGGTTGTGCGGAGATCTAGGTGGTCACCACAGGGCTCAGTGCAGTAGCTGTTTACCAACCATTGTGACAGTATTTCAGTATTTAACAAGTCAGTTCAGCTGTGCAGATGTAGACCATTGAGTGCGTCCATAGAGCAGCGCAGTTGAAGAGCTGGTTTTGCTCTGTGACATATGCCAAACCAACAGAGCATATGGCAAACCACACGGATGCTCTGGCAAGTCTGGAGTAGATTTACCTCATTAGAAAGAATACCCATTTTGAATTTTGAAGAAGCAGACTAGGTCTTATTCCATGTTATAAAGATCCTTAATTCAGCATAGTGTTACTTGAGAACTATACTGTAGCATGTAAAATACTCTCGCTTGTTAGACATGCACAACTGGGTATGTTCCTCTAGTGAAAACTGTAGGGGTTTTTCGTTACACTTCATGATCACATCTGAAATACTATTTAACAGTGCTTAAAATTACTATTATCTTGTCTCTGTAAAGAGAAGTCACCATCTTTGAAACTCACTGGGGTTATCAAGAGCTGTTAGAAAATCTTTTAGGACTCCAATTGTTCTGTTATGGCATACATCTCTTTAAGTTATATTTTGCAAAATCACTACAGAACTTATTAGTATATTTATTATCTCTGTTTAATTTTGAGAAATCCATATTATAGGGATCAGGTGTGTATATATATATACATATATATATGTTTATATATATACCCGTTGACATAGCTGGAACATTGGCCATTCCACTGAAGAGTTTGGAAAATGTAGGTTTAGATCACATACAACTTATAGGGCTTAACTCATGTTCCTGTCTCTTCCTTAAAGTCTTTGTTCACTACCCTAGTCTGTCCTGATTTTCCATATTGAGAAATGCATTAGCATTTAGTATGAATAACATATTATTTTCTTCTTGTTTATAGTGTTCTGTTATTGCCCATTTTTGTGCTATAAATCTTTTCACCATCAGTAGACACTATAGTATGTCAGAAATTGTATACTTTTCCATGACAGAATATTAAAACTAAGCACAGAGAAGTCATCTTAACAGTTGTTTAACATATGCTGCACAGAACCTAAGATACTGCGTGAAAATATCACCACATGCAGTATTTCTATCTAAAAGTACAATTTAACTCTTCAAACCATGCCAATCTGACGTTAGGAACACTAGTTGAGCATAAAAGAATATGTTTATGTCATTTCAGGATTTGGTGACATTTGGGGATGTGGCCGTAGATTTCTCTCAAGAGGAGTGGGAATGGCTGAACCCTGCTCAGAGGACTCTGTACAAGAAGGTGATGTTGGAGAACTATAGGAGCCTGGTATCACTGGGTAAGGAAGTCTCCACAGAATTCAGAATCTGCACATAGGGGTGCTTTCCGATGTTTAGGAAGCCTCTGATGTACTTCACTAAATTTCTCTTTCTTGTGATTCCCCCAATAGGTTGAGTTTTGTAGAACTGGCAGCTTCATTGGATTATTCCTACCACTTCATTTTCCCCATTCTTCAGAACACTTCACCTCTTCTATACTCCCTTCTATAATGCCCTCATCAACTTCCTGATGACCAAGCAACTTAATCTGACTTACGGATCTGGCTAATTCCCCTTTTATTTCTTGTAAGCAGGAGTTTCAGTTTCTAAGCCAGATGTGATCTCATTACTGGAACAAGGAAAAGAGCCCTGGATGCTGAAGGAGGAGGGGACAAGAGGCACATACCCTGGTGAGTGAGAACTAGGAAGGTAGAGTCCACTGCAGGGAAAAGCTCAGCTATTCTGAAAGGTTCCAGCGTATAATTGATGTTTCCTGGGTTGCTTTTCTTAAAGGCTGAAGGCCTGGAAGAAACATTGAGGTGCCATTAGTGTGAGGTCCCTAACTTACTCTTCTTGCATATATTCTCTCCTACATCACTGTATTGTCTAATAACCTTCTCCTATGCTCTGGGTCCAAACTGTCTGTGTCTGCTTGTCCTTCCTTTTAGTTTTGGCACAAGTTGCTCCATCACATTAAAAAAAAAAAAAATCCGGGGCGCCTGGGTGGCTTAGTCGGTTAAGCGTCCGACTTTCGCTTAGGTCATGATCTCGCGGTTCGTGGGTTCGAGCCCCGCGTCGGGCTCTGTGCTGACTGCCAGCTCGAAGCCTGGAGCCTGTTTCAGTCTGTGACTCCCTCTCTCTCTGACCCTCCCCTGCTCACGCTGTCTCTCTCTCTCTCCTAGAAATAAATAAAAAACCATTAAAAAAAATTAAAAAAAAAAAAGAATACCAAAAATCCCTTCAAAAGATAAGCACACAATGAAAAACTGAAAAACACAAGTAAGTATTCTCTAGGAAATGACCGAATTATCTGAAAGGGATAATANTTTCGCTTAGGTCATGATCTCGCGGTTCGTGGGTTCGAGCCCCGCGTCGGGCTCTGTGCTGACTGCCAGCTCAGAGCCTGGAGCCTGTTTCAGTCTGTGACTCCCTCTCTCTCTGACCCTCCCCTGCTCATGCTGTCTCTCTCTCTGTCTCCTAGAAATTTAAAAAAAAAAAAAAATCCAGATACCACAATGCCTATTTTTTTTTATTTTTCAGTCACTCATTCCTTTATATTGAAGGATTGACTCATTGAATTTTTTTTTTGAGAAAACAATTCTACTAACTTTTTGGGCATATTCAGAGGTTTATTAACCATTAAGGAAAAAATAAATAATTCCTGGTTATATTTTCAAGTCTGGGTAACTGAATGGTGACACCATGTACTAGAAGTAAGCCAGAATATATTAGTAGGGGAAAAGATGATAGTTTGACTTGGGATACAAGAGTTATTTTTACAAGATGGAGAAACTTCTGAGTGAAGAAATGCAACATGCCACTGGAGTGAAGCAGAGGCTTAGAAGAAAAAGTCTGAGGTAGAGATGCTAGTATGAATGGATAAGGTCACTAGTTTTACAGTTTGAGAGATAAAACCTGGTACTGAGGTCTTTGTAAGGAAGTGGATCTTTGGCAACTCTCTCAATGTTCTCTTTCTGATAAATAGTCTCTTTACAGTTTCTGCGTTGGGTGAAATTTTATAATTTTTTTTTTTAATTAAGCAGTCATTATTATTGCCCAACATGGGGCTCAAGCTCATGACCCTGAGATCAAGAGGCGCATACTCTACCAACTGAGTCAGCTCTAAATTATAATTAGGTGTCCACAAATTTATATTTTTATTTTTTAAAAGTTTATTTATTGGGGCACCTGGGTGGCTCAGTCAGTTAAGCGTCCAACTTCAGCTCAGGTCATGATCTCATGGTTGGAAAGTTTGAACCCCGTGTCAGGCTCTGTGCTGACAGCTCAGAGCCTGGAGCCTGCTTTGGATTCTGTGTGTCCCTCTCTCTCTGCTTCTCACCTGCTCACACTCTTTGTCTTTCAAAAATACAAAATAAACATTAAATAAATAAGATTTATTTATTTATGTTGAGAGGGGGGAAGAGAGAGAAAGAGAATACCAAGCAGGCTCTGTGCTGTCAGCATCGAGTCTAACGCAGAGCTCTAACTCACAAACATGAGATCATGACCTAAGGTGAAATCAAGAGTTGGATGCTTAACTGACAGGGCCACCCAGGTGCCCCAAAAGACATTATCTTTTCATTTAGGTTATCAAACTTATTTTCGTGAATCTGAAAAAAATAATCTTGTAATCCTTTTTATTTTTAGTGTCTGTAGTTTCCAATTTTAACTTATTTTATATATCTATTCTTTTTTAAAAAAAATTATTAGGTAGCTAGTCATGAATCAATTTTAAAGTTCAGCTTAAGGATTTTTTTTTTTTTTTTAAATTTCTGAGAGAGAGAGACAGCGTGAGCAGGAGAGGGTCAGAGAGAGAGGGAGACACAGAATCCGAAACATGCTGTAGGCTCTGAGCTAGCTGTCAGCACAGAGCCCAATGCGGGGCTTCAACCCACGAACCGTGAGATCATGACCTGAGCCGAAGCCAGATGCTTAACCTACTGAGCCACCTAGGCACCCCCAGCTTAAGGATTTTTTTTATTATTGTTACCACTCTTCCAATTCTCTATTTTTTGCTTTTCACTAATTCCATTGTTCTAGTTTTCTTAGGTTTATTTTGTTCTCCGTTTTGCTGAAATAAATGCTTGATCATTTCACTCTCTTTTATTCACTAAATTTTTAAGGGCTATGAATTCTCCTTTGAATATAACTTAGCTGTTTTCCAGAGATTCTGATTTTTAGTGTTTCTGTTATTGCTGTTTCCTAAATAACCTACTTTGAAGAAATTTCTCTTTTACACAAGAGTTGTTTAAAAGAAAGTTTTATAGTTTTATTGTATTTTGATCAAATTGCTTTATCACATTTATCAAATAGGAATTAATACTAATTCTACTTTCTAACTTTAGGATTTTATATGGCCAAACATATAATTGGTATTTGTAAATATTCCATAGGTTCCAAGGTTTAAGTCTTTATTTTCAGTGTAAAGAGGTTGTTACATGAGTTTTACTCTTTTTATTGTTATTGAAGTCTGTCTTTACTTACCTTTCTTATTTCCATTTTATTTTTTCTTAATAACTTTATTAAAGAATCACATACAGTAAATCACATCCATATACATCATACAATGTGATGAGTTCTGACTATTATATAAACCCATGAAACAATCACCATAATCAAGACATACAGTGTTTCCATCACCCCAAAAGATGGCCTGTGCCTTGTTTTGAACCATTTTTTCTCCACTCCTGGCTCCAAATGCTATTACGATCTCTGTCATTTTAGATTAGTTTCCATCTAACCTGAATTGAACCATATGGTATATATTGTTCCGTCTGGCTTATTTTACTCATAATTTTGAAAATCATACATATTTTTGTGTAGATCTCCCACATTTTGTTTTTCCAGTCACCTGTTCATGAACATTTGGGTTGTGTCCAGTTTTTGGCTATTGTAAAGTATCTCTGAAGCTGTCATTTACAGGACTTTGTATGCATGTATGTTTTCATTTCTCTTAAGTAAATCTCTAAAAGTGGAATGAGTCATACAATAGGCGTATGTTTAACTTTTTAAGAAACTGCCAGTTTTCCAAAGTGTCTGCCATTTTCTTTCCCAGCAGCAGTGTAGGAGACTTACACTTGCTCCATATCTTCACCATATCTTGGTATTGTCAGCTTTTAATTTTACTCATTCTAATGGTTGTGTTGTGGTATCTCACTATGCTTTTAATATGCATTTCTCTGGTGACATAATGTTGAATGTCTTCTCATGTGCTAATTGATCATTCATGTATCTTTTGTGAAGTGTTCAGATCTTTCCCCCGTGTTTTACTGTGTTGTTTTCATTTTACTGAATTATAAGAGTTCTTTATATAGTCTTATTACAAGTCTTTTGCCATTTATATGTATTGGGATGTATGTATGCCAGTTGTGGCTTGTGTTATTTTCTACTGGTGTCTTTTGAATGTCCAAAGTTTTTAATTTTTGTAAAGCCAGCTTATTAACTTGACTTGTTTGGTAGTTTGGTGTGTCATACCTTAGAAATTCTTGCTACCTCTAAGTCACATAAATGTTCTTCTCTGTTTTCTCCTATAGTTACAGCTTTTACACTTATATGAGTTAAATATTGTGACTTAAGTGAGATAAAGAATAGGTTTTGGTGCTCCTCAAATTTGGATATACAGTTGTTCCAGTATCTTTTTTTGAAAAGACTTCACCCATTATACTGCCTTGTTGGGACCTTTGTACCAAAAGCAGTTAATCATATCTACATGGGTCTAGTTCTGAATTCTATTCTATTTCATCTATCTATATATCCTTTCATCAGTACTAGTCTTAATTACTGTAGCTTTATAGTAACTTTTTTTTTTTAGTATTTTTTTATTTATTTCTAGGAGAGAGAGAGAGAGAGAGAGACAGCGTGAGCAGGGGAGGGTCAGAGAGAGAGGGAGTCACAGACTGAAACAGGCTCCAGGCTCCGAGCTGGCAGTCAGCACAGAGCCCGACGCGGGGCTCGAACCCACGAACCGCGAGATCATGACCTAAGCGAAAGTCGGACGCTTAACCGACTAAGCCACCCAGGCGCCCCATATAGTAACTTTTGATATCAGGTAGTTCAACTTGTAAACTCACTTTAACTATTTAGATCCATTTGCATTCCCAAGTAAATTTTAGAATGAAGTTGAGAATTTCTCCCCCAAAGCCTGCTAGAATTTTAAGTGGGATTATGTGGAATCTATACATCAATTTCAGAGGAACTGCTATCCTACTTAATGCCATTTGAGTCTTTTAGCTCATGAGTATGGTGTATTTATTCATTTATTAATTATTCTTTTTAAAATTCTATTAGTGGGGCGCCTGGGCGGCTTAGTCGGCTAAGCGTCCGACTTTCGCTTAGGTCATGATCTCAACGGTTCGTGGGTTCGAGCCCCGCATCAGGCTCTGTGCTGACTGCCAGCTCAGAGCCTGGAGACTATTTCAGAGTCTGTATCTCCCTCTCTCTCTGACCCTCCCCTGCTCACGCTGTCTCTCTCTCTCTCTCCTAGAAATAAATAAAAATATTTAAAAAAAATAAAATAAAATTCCATTAGTAATGTTCTATAGTATCTAGTGTAGTGGCTATATATAGTTTATATATATATATATGTATTTTTTGAGTCTTATGATAGTTTTTAGTGCTATTATAAAAAGAATTCTTAAAAATCCCATTTTCCAGTTGTTGCTAGTATGCAAAAATGTAAATTGATCTTTATATTTTTTATTTTATGATCTTGCTAGATTTATTTAGTAGGTGTTCTAGTAGTTGTTTGTAGGTTTCTGAGAATTTTCTGCATAGACCATCATCTTCAAATACAGTTTATTTCTTCCTTTGTGATCTTACAGCTTCTTTTCCTTGACTTGGTGCAATAGCAAGGATTTCCTCTATAATGCTCAATAGAATTGCTAAGAGTAGATATACTTAGATTATTCTCAATCTTAAGGGAAAACCTATTCAGTCTTTCACCATTAAGTTCATGTTTCTTAGATGCCTTTATCAGTTTGAGGAAGTTTTATATTCCTGGTTTGTTAAGAATTATTATACGTAGATGTTAAAATTAGTCAAATACTTTTTTTTCTTTTCCTTTTTTAAAAAAATATTTATTTCTGAGAAAGACAGTGTGAGCAGGGGAGGGTCAGAGAGAGGAGGAGACACAGAATCTGAAACAGGCTCCAGGCTCTGAGCTAGCTGTCAGCACAGAGCCCAACATGGGGCTCAAACTCATGAACTGTGAGATCATGACTTGAGCCGAAGTCAGACGCCCAACTGATTGAGCCACCCAGATGCCCCAAATGTTTTTTCTACATCTATCGAAATGATAATAGAATTTTCCACCTTTAATCTATTAATGTAGTGAATTACATTGGATATTACATATTAAGCCAATCTTGGATTCCTGGGATAAGCTGTGAGTGGTAATGATTATGCTTTCATATTTTTCTGGATTTGATCTGCAGTAATTTTATTAAAGGTTTCTATATTTATGTTCATTACTATATTGGTTTTATAAACCATAATAGGAATTTTGATTTTATTATAAATATGGTTTGAAACCACCGGAAAATCTTGAGCAGAATAGGTGATAGGGAATGGAAAGGTGGCAAATTAAGGCTTATGGCAGGTTAATAAATCAAGCAGTTTGATTGAAAATAACTTTTATGTGAAGGCATTTTAGCTTTGGGATCAATTAAAAATTTACATTTGGTTGAACTATATCACATAGAAAACTACTGTTAAGAAGATTTTTTTTTTAGGCTACATAAATGTAGCTATAGTTGCATGTACAACCTAAGGCAACTAACAGTACCCGATGTGTCTTTGGGTCTTGGGATTTTAGAAAGTTTCTTAGCCACATTAACATTATGAAATTGGCTTTTTAAAGATAATGCTTGGATGTAGGATGACCACCTAAGGCAAGAAAGAAAGGGTGTTTGGAGACTGCAATATTAATATAAAATTATCATTATTATAATCCTTAATTCTCTTAAATTCTCATTCTTTATAATCTCATACTTTTTTTCAGACTGCATCTTATAGTTATTAAATATCTGAACTTAAGTATTTTATTCACCAGTTTTTGTTTCAGGAGTTCTCTTCTAATGAACAAATACAAAAGACATTTGTTTTCTTGGTATCTTTTAGATTGGGAGTATGCATTTAAAAACAATGAATTTTCATCAAAGCAAGTTATTTATGAAGAATCATCCAAAGTACTGACAATGGGAAGAAGCCATCTTAGTTATAGCCTTGACTACCCCAGTTTGAGAGAAGACTGCAGATGTGAGGACTGGTTTAAGAACCACTTAGGCAGTCAGGAGGTACATTCTAGACAATTGATCAGCACTCATCAAGAAATCCTCACTGAAGATCAAAGTAATGAATATACTAAATCTTGGCAAACTTTCCATGAGGATTCGATATTTGATATAAAACAGGATTTTCCCACCAAAGAAAGAGTACATAAGCATGAGCCACAAAAGAGAAGCTACCGAAAAAAATCTGTTGAAATGAAACATAAGAAAGTCTATGTACAAAAGAAACTTTTGAAATGTAATGAATGTGAGAAAGTTTTCAACCAGAGCTCATCTCTTACTCTTCATCAGAGAATTCATACTGGAGAGAAACCCTATGCATGTGTTGAATGTGGGAAAACTTTCAGCCAGAGTGCAAACCTAGCTCAACATAAGAGAATACATACTGGGGAGAAACCCTATGAATGTAAAGAATGTAGGAAAGCCTTCAGCCAGAATGCACACCTTGCTCAACATCAGAGAGTTCATACTGGAGAGAGACCTTATCAGTGTAAAGAATGTAAAAAAGCCTTCAGCCAGATTGCACACTTGGCTCAACATCAGAGAGTTCATACTGGAGAGAGACCTTTTGAATGTATTGAATGTGGAAAGGCCTTCAGTAATGGTTCATTTCTTGCTCAGCATCAGAGAATTCATACAGGAGAGAAACCTTATGTATGTAATGTGTGTGGGAAAGCCTTTAGCCATCGTGGATACCTAATAGTACATCAGAGAATTCATACTGGAGAGAGACCTTATGAATGTAAGGAATGTAGGAAAGCTTTCAGCCAATATGCCCACCTTGCTCAACATCAGAGAGTTCATACTGGAGAAAAGCCTTATGAATGTAAAGTATGCAGGAAAGCCTTCAGCCAGATTGCATACCTTGATCAACATCAGAGGGTTCATACTGGAGAGAAACCCTATGAGTGTATTGAATGTGGGAAGGCCTTTAGCAATAGTTCATCACTTGCACAACATCAGAGAAGTCATACTGGAGAAAAACCTTATATGTGCAAGGAATGTAGGAAAACATTTAGCCAGAATGCAGGCCTTGCTCAACATAAACGAATTCATACTGGAGAGAAACCTTATGAATGTAACATTTGTGGGAAAGCCTTTAGCTATAGTGGATCTCTTACTCTACATCAACGAATTCATACAGGAGAGAGACCCTATGAATGTAAAGATTGTAGAAAATCTTTCAGGCAGCGTGCCCATCTTGCCCAGCATGAGAGAATTCATACCATGGAGTCATTCTTGACTCCTTCCTCTCCCTCACCCTCTATGTCCAGTCAGTTGCCAAGAACTGTAGGTTTTATCTCCTAAATATGCCTTGAATCAGACTCCCTTAATCCATTTCCATTCCATTATCTTTGTCCAATACACGGTAATCTATTTCATATGGACTATGGAAATAGCTTTCTGATTGGTCTCCCCATATTTACCATTTCCTTTGTCAGTTGCCTACATTGCAGTCAAACTTGTATTTGAAAAGTTTGATATCACTTCTCCTTCATTGGTACCCTTCATTGGTATCCCGTAGTTCTTAGGTTAAAAGTACACATTCCTCAGAATAGCCTATAAAACCCCCTGCTCCAGGTACCTTGTTCCATTATACTTTCCAAAGTACTATTTCATGTCAAAAACCCATCTATTTCTTTAGATAATTAAGAACCCATATTCCAGCATCAAACATCTGGATTCTAATCCTTGTTCTTCCATTTTGTAGCCACCTAGTTTTAGAGAAACACTTTGTCCTTTGTAAGGTTCAGTCTTATTTATATTATGGGAATAATAATGGTACTACCTCAGAACTTGATGGGAGGATTAAATGAGAGAATGCATGTAAATTGCTCAGAGTGCCTAGTATAACATAATCACTTAATAAACACTACTGTAAAATGATCATTTTACAAAGAAAACCTGATCATAGGATCATCTAAGAAAAGCAGCAGTTCACCACTTAAGAGATTATAAATATTTTATTTTAGGAATAGTAGTCATTGTTCTAAAGTGGTTGATAAGGGCATCTAATACAGTAGCATTGGTGTTAAAAACCATGATGATACAGACTAAGATCTGACTTTGTTGTTAGGAAAAACGTCATTAGATATTCAGCAGTTCTAAGAAGCCACATTTTAAAAATCACTAGTAATGAGTAGGTTTTACTAGGATATATTCAACATTTACATTTAGACAAAGGCAAAATAGATCTTTTTTTAAAAAATTTTAATGTTTTTTATTTATTTCTGAGAGAGAGACAGCTTAAGCGGGGGGGGGGGGGGGGGGGGGGGGGAGACACAGAATCTGAAGCAGGCTCCAGGCTCTGAGCTAGCTGTCAGCACAGAGCCCGACCCGGGTTTGAACCCACAAACCGTGAGATCATGACCTAAGTCAAAGTCGGATGCTTAACTGACTGAGCCACCCAGGCGCCCCAAAATAGATTACTGTTTAAAAGACAAAAAGACCCATAACCAAAGAAGAATAAAAAATAAAATGGAAGTTTGATCCCTCTCCTAATTCCAGGTGGTTGAATTATATTAAATCTATGTCGTTTAGAACTGAAAAGGTGAAGCTAGCTCTCTACATTGTAATTCCAAAACTAGAGGGGGCAAGAAAAGTATAGATCGGTACACGTACCCTGGGGGCCACAAACATACTGGATTTGCTAGCCATCAAGTTTAAAATGAATACCCCCCAAAATAATATCTTTATGTGGGCATGTTTCCCAGTTCTCCACAGTTCAAACCACTTCTTCCTTTACATCTGACTTATTTTACAGTTTATAGTACTTCCTGACTCCTGGAGGCTTTGAGTATGCAATCAATTCAGAACCAACTCACATAGGAATAAAAGTATGCAGAAAATGGATGAAAAGGAAGACTTGAATAGACACATTATCCTGCAGGGGGAAGACTATTCTAGAGATGGTAGAGGCCCAAAATTAATTTACAGATTTGCTGTATCTAATAAAATCCCAAGAAGGTTTTAAGGCTTGAAACACTGCATGCGAACATACACACATACACATTCATACAGGTAAATATATAAATAAAGGTAATATCTCAGTGGCTTAACAGTAACATTGATTCTGCTCTCTACAAAACCAATTCCCTCATCCTTTTATCCAAATGTGAAAGTTATTAAATTTTTTTAATGGCTTTTATTTATTTCTGAGAGAGAGAGAGGGCATGAGCAGGGGAGAGTCAGAGAGGGAGACACAGAATCTGAAACAGGCTCCAGGCTCTGAGCTACCTGTCAGCACAGGGACTGATGCGGGGCTTGAACCCACGAACCGGGAGATCACGACCTGAGCCAATGTCAGACGCTTAACTGACTGAGCCACCCAGGCACCCACAAATGTGAAAGTTATTAGAGGATTGTAAACAGAGTGAAACAATCTTCATAAACAAGACATGAGATCCAGAAGCCACACACACAGATTCCAGGTTTTACTGCATAAGAACTTTATTAAGCTTTTATATACTCAAAAGATAGTATAAACACAATTTTTAATAACAGTATTGAAGATGTTATAACATGAAATTCATATCCTTAACATAAAAGTGCTTCTACAGACCACTTAGAAAATGACACTACTCCCATGAGCAAAGGATATAAAGAAGCAACAGGTGACTAGTGACAGAATCTCACTAGAAGAAGAAAAGTTAAACCAACAAACTACCCATTTGTCAATATCAGACTGATTAAAACATCTGCATTGCAAAAGCACAAAAAGGAGATACTTCTATGTACTGATGTGAGGGAGTATGAATTTGTACAAATTTTCTGAAAGGTAACTTTGCAATATCAGAATTTTTACTGAGAGCATCAAAAATTTCTTTACAAATTTACGTTATTTCCTTATCCCATTAAACAGACAAAACAATGATAAAGATACCAAACAGAAAAGAGGGTCATCAGTGGATGAGAAAGTTGAACAAATAGACAAAAGGGAAGAAAGTGTTCATTCATGAAATGTAGGAAAGGCCGATGCTATCTGAAATGTTTGAATGATAGGGATGTCAGTAATAGAAGCCACTCTACCCAAATGCTGTTTGTACAGAGCATCCCTAGAGAAGTTGAGGCTTCAAGCTGGCTTGTGTATAGAGGCTGGGGGTAATAAGAAACAATGACAAGACTGTTCAATGCTTTTCTATGTGGCAGTCAACATCTTCCTCACTTCACCCTCTAATCTATAAGTAAATTGAATAGGATTGTTCATACCATCCACAAAAATGAGTTTCAGTTAAAATAAAACCTTAAATGTAAAAAATGCTCTTAAAATTTAAAAACAAGCAACTCTAAGGAAGAAATTATTTGTAACATACAAAGGGAAAGATTTAAGGACATCTGTAAATAAGTAAAAGACAACTATGCTAGTATAAACATGGACAAAGTATAAGAACAGGAAAATCAGAAGAAATCGGGGTGGCCGATAAATGAGTCCCTGCTTAACTTCACTAGTATTGAGGTACAAATTTAAATAATGTCATATCAAAAAATGGCAGCTGTATGAAGAAATGACACCTTGCCACTCTGGAGGCAGTGAAGTTTTGTTTTTAATGTTCATTTATTTTTTTTATTTATTACAAATAGTTTATTGTCAAGTTGGTTTCCATATAACACCCAGTGCTCATCCCCACAAGTGCCCTCCTCCATGCCCATCTCCCCCCTCACCCCCCACACCCATCAGTACTCAGTTTGTTCTCAGCATTCAAGAGTCTCTCATGTTTTGAGGCAGTGAAGTTTTTAACATGTTCACTGTAGTCCCTTTGGAGGGCAGTATGGTTAGTACATGAAACACTGGAAACAATCTAAATTTCCATGGGACTTGACAAGAAATACTAGCAGCAAATTTTGCAGATTTGCTCATTATATATTTTAAAAACATTTGCAATACATTTAAATTAAGTATGCAAATATCTAGAAAAGGTTCTGGAGAGACATGCCCAATGTAAGTGTTCCTTCTAGGGAGGAGACTGGGATTGGATATTCTGGTCAGGAGATTTTGTGTTACCTGCAGTATTTGAAGTTTTAAACAACAATGTAATAAATTTAAACTATGAAAAAGTGAATTTAGAATGAGAGTTGGCAGGTAAATTAAAACCTTTTTGGATTTTGTTGAATAGCTCATTGATTTGCCAACCTTTCCCAAGCATACAGAGATCCCAGTAACCCTTTCTTTAAGTAATCTCTACACCCAACTGACAACCCTGAGATCAAAAGAGTTTCATGTTCTACCAACAGCCAGCCAGATGCCCCAAGACCTATCATTCCTAAATGTTGAACAGTTAAGAATAATAACATGTGAAAACTATCAGCAATAATAAGGACCAAGAGACCAAACTAAACCTAACAATGGGGAAACTTATGTAATAATAGAAGAAAACAAAATTTATATTAGATTTGAACAGATAATATGGGAATCTATAAAAAAATTAGATAATATTGTACACCTGAAACCAATGTAACAATGTTTACTGGAATTTTTTTAATTGTTTAAAGAAAAAATAGTACAGAAAAAATATATAAACCAGAACTCCTAAGAATAAAAAAATGTTATTGCTGTAATAAACCTAATAGAAGTTTTGAAAGAAAATTTGGGAAACTTTCCAAGCTCATAAATATAAACAAAAAGGGACATTCAATTAATAGGAATTCCAGAAAAGTTTAGAGAGAAAAGATATCAAATAAATTAATGCAAACCTTTCTAAACTGAGAAAAGTTAAGAATGTTCAGCTTGGAATAGCTTACCAAGTGTTGGGCTGAATTGGCAAAAATGATTCCAATGGGGGAAAAATACATCCAGAAATATGCTTGTGAAATTTCAGAATACTGAAGATGAAACCATCCTAAAAAGCTTTAAAAAATGTGAATGTCTCTAAAAAGAACATTCAAGATAGTACTAGCCTCCCCCCATTAGCAATATTAGATAATACAGAATGTGCTGCACCTTCCAAGTTATGAGGTAAAGCTAGTTTGAATCTAGAAGTCTATACCCAAACAACAATAAGCTGTGAGACCAAACACTGATATTCTGTATGTGCAGTTTGCTTCAGTTTCCTCTCCCTTATCCTTTATGAGAGTATTAAAGAATTAGCTTTAGCAAATTTTGGATGAAACAGGAAGGCAGCAGCAGGAAAGACTTCAAAAAACAGTAGATTTGACCTGGGAAAGTCATGCTGAGGATGACTAGGGTGACTGTTGCACAACAATCAGACCGAATTACTGGTAGGCTAGAAATCCAGGAACTCAATGAAGAAAATCTTCAGGAAGTTTGGAATAGGTTACATTAAATAAGTATGAAGTTGGAGGATTATAGCCATAGGGTGAAGAATAAAAGTTTATTCTTAGGAAGATAGAAAGGCAATTACTGGCTTTGGGAAAAACCATTCCAGCTTCAGGTCTGAATATAAAGCAAGCCCCCATGAAATGGGTATGATTTTGGAAAACAGAATATGAAAAAAGAAAATCCATTTGACTGATAATCAGGAAGAAACTCCTTTAAGTGCATACTGGCATCATAACATCGGACCTATAGGGGAAGAAATGTAATCTTCACACACAGCTTGGCTCCACCTCTTCAGAAAATATTTACACAGTGATAATGATTGCTATTTTCTTTCCAACTTTACAATATATAGACAAATCACTTAAGTCTGTCTCTGCATGTACATAGGCCTACTTGTTGTCTAATCATGTAAAAGGCAAAGTGTAGCTGACTGGATGGTGGGAGGTTGACAGCAATAATGAGACTGAAGAAGCAAGGACGAAGGGCAATATTCTCATAGAGGGGATTCAAAAGATCTATCTAAAGTCAACAGAATAAGAACTGTAAGTTACCTGGATTTCAAGGTAAAATACAACAGAGGAGCTAATGTGTAATTCACTTGGGATGAGTTAAATTCTTATCTTTCATAAGAAGTATTACTAAAGATGGGGCGCCTGGGTGGCTTAGTCGGTTAAGCGTCCGACTTTCGCTTAGGTCATGATCTCGCGGTTCGTGGGTTCG